CGCCTATATTCTCTTATCCCCTATTAATAATTAAAGTACTATAAAGCCTATAATAGTAGATAATATCCTCCTAAAGAAACTTTACTATATTCTTAAAAGTAGTATTCTTAAGGATTCTTACCTTAACGTAGCTAGAAAATTTATAGTAAGCTTTAATAATCTTTTATCTACTAATATACTATATATTTAGGTAAACCTAAGTAAATAAGTAGTAGATTAGTTTAGTAGAGATATAGGGGTTATTTATACACTTAGATTAAGCCTTTTAATATAACTTATAGCTTATAATTAACTCCCTAACTTAGGTATATATCCCTAGCTAAAAGTATTATTTAGTAAGGCAGAAGTAGGTAGCTTTATATCCCTAGTGCCCTAATTTATTATATACTTTAGTAATTAACTCTTAACAGCAGCTTAGATTATTAATAACCCTCTATAGGTAAGGAGAGGTCCTTATCTCTTATTAGAACAAAAGTTAATCCTGTATTATAAATTATATAGCTAACTGCTTAAACTAGTAGAACTAAGTAAGGGAAATCCTAGGGGGTCTTTTAAGTAAAAGCAGGAAATAGGTAATTTATTTTAAGTTAGTTAACTATTATTCTAGTGTAAAAAGATCTATTAGAATATTAATATCTTAGTCCTAATTAGTTACGTTATTATCTTAGCTATATAACTTATTAATTAAGTTAAAGATTCTAATAATTATATTCTAATTTAAACTCTTTAAGATCCTTCTTAAGAGTGCTAAAGTGACCTATCCTATTATCTAAGCTAAGGCTACACCCCTAATTAGTAAAATTTATATAATTATCCTTAGCCCTAGCTAAACTTATTAACTAACTTTTAATAGAGAGGGTCTTTTAATCTGTTATAATTTCTCTATAGAGTTATAATAGTTACTTAAATTAGTATACTTATAGGAAGTCCTAAGGCTAATAGCTTTATATCTCTAGATTAGGTAATTCTTAAGGCGCTATCTTATATTAATTAACTATAAGTAACTAATTATAACAGACCACCTTACTTATAGGGACCTTTAAGAGCTCTATCTAGCTCCTTTAGTATTTCTATAATCTATCTTAGTTATTATTATAAATTAGTAACCTTTAAGGTTCTAACTTATTATCTTAGTCTTATAATTAGGTAATTTCTATTATCTAAGTTACTAATCTATTACTTTATTATCTTATTATCTTTTTAGGGTTTTCCTTATTCCCTTAATTAGTTACTTTTTATAATCTTATTATCTTATTATTATTACTTTTATAATAACTTACTTAGTGTGCTTAACTAGATATCTCTCTAATTAGTTTAAACCTATAGTTAATCTTCTAGAAGGGGAGACTATTAGAAGCAAGTAGGGTATAAGGGACTTTTGTAGTGCAGTAACTACATAGAACACTATAACTACTAAAAGTAATATAAGATTCCTTACTAATTAGTATATAAATTATATTAATTTATGTAGAATTAATATTAATTATAAGTATTAAACTATAAGATTAAGTATAATTATACCCTAATTAGGTAGGTAATTACTCCTAATTATTTTATGTTATTATAATTAAAGGTAAATTATAGAGAGGCTCTAGTTTAATTAGAAGGTAGGTATAAGTATAAAGGATAAATTCTGCGTGTCTATCTCTAAACCTATTAATACTAGCTTATATCTTTGTACTTAATTAGGATTAGAATCTTCTGATTGGTCTACATACTACCTCACTCTAGGCTGGTCGCCCTACCCTGCTCTAGTATACTTTTTATACTTAAAGAGATAATTCTTAACTTTTTAAAACCTCTTTAAATATTTCTTTTTATAAAAGCTTACTTAAAGGTATTATAAAATACTAAAAAAAGTTATTTTTAGAAATATAAGTATTACCTTATTATATATTATTCTTAATTTCTTAACTATATACTAGCTTTAAAGGCCTAAAGTATCTTATATCTAAAGGCTAAAGTAAATAGAAAAAATAAGGTAGTATATAAAAAGTAATAATATTATTTTCTTAAAAAAATACTTTAAAATTTATAAAGTAATAACTTTTATACCTATTAAAAATAAAAAAGTAATATTCTTTTATATATAACTTTAAATATTATTTAAAGTACTAAAGCTAATTTAAGTCTTTTTTATATATTCTTTATTTATTTTTAAATATTATAATAACCTAGTTAGGTAGAAAACTAAATTCTATATACTATAAAGAAATAAAGACCTAAAGTACTTAAGTATACTTTTATTTTATTTCTTTATTATTAAAGAAAATAAGACTAGATCTTTTTATTTAGTTAGTTATTAACTAAGTAATTACCTTATTATTATCTTACTTCTTTTAGTTATAGGTTTAAATCCTAATATAACTACTATTATATACACCTAGCTAGCATATAGCCCTACTATATATATAGGGGCCTGCCTGTTAGGACCTATAGAACAGGATTTTATAGCTAGCTAGAGAGTATAAGAGCTATAGCGCCTGCCTAAGAAGGGCCTACTAGATTAGAGTTTTCTAGCTAATAGGCTAATACTAGCAGAGGCTAAGGAGCTAGCTAGAGAGCGTAAGAGCTGAAGAGGCCTGCCTAGAGGGGCAGGCTAGACGCCTAGAAAAAGGGACAGGCCTAGAGCTAATTTAGGCAGGCCTCTAGTAAACTAGCTAGTTAGAAGTGCTAGGTAATTTACCTTATAAGGACGTATACTTACTTTTACCTACCTAGAAATTTAGGGATAAATTTCCTAAGAAGGAGGGTAATTATAAGGAAATAAAGACCTAAAGTACTTAAGTATACTTCTATTTTATTCCTTTAATATTAAAGAAAGTATAACTAAACCTTTTTATTTAGTTATTTATTAACTAAGTAATTATGTTATATATACTAAGTAAGAAAAAGATTTTTACTTCTAATAATAATATATAATAAGACACTATAACTAAATAAACTAATAGCCTAGATAACTATAACTTATTTTTAATTACTAAGCTATACTATTTTTATATTTAAATATTTTTTAAAGTTTATAATACTTATTTTAAATATAATCTAGCTTATTATAAAGCTAGTCTTATTATAGTTATAAATATCTAACTTTATAATACTATATCTTATAATTATATTTACTATAAAAAAGAACTATATCTTTATTATATTAAGATCTTAATATTAGGCTTTTTTATAGTTATATTTTTAAAATAAATATATTTAAAGCTTTAGTGTTTATCTAATAAAGTTTAAGGCCTAGCGCTTACTAACTAGTAATATATTATAGTTAGTAAGTAGTTAATTAGCTATTTCTTTAACACTACTAAGCTAAAAAGGAAATAATTAGAAATCTAGGTTAAAAATAAACTTAACTAGCTTTCTCTCTTTAAGTTCTATTAAATTCTATAAGTTAGCTATAGTCTTATATTATAAAGGTTTTCTATTAAGATAGTTATATAATATAGAGAAAGGTACTAAATAAATATATAATATAGCCTAAATATTAGTTTATAGGGTCCTTAGATAGCTTTAATAGCTAAGAGTAATTAGGCTTTATTATTTAGTAAATATATTATTTTTAGTAGTTAGACGTATAGTAAAAGAAGAAAAGACTATAATTATAGTAAGCTAATTACTTTACTTATTTAATTAACTTACTTTTTATATATACTAATATAATAGCTTTATTATAATTATTTAAAATAGATAATAAGTTAAGAAAAGTAAATCTAAAGTAAGGCTGCTTTATAATAGTAGGGGTTATACTTTAAGTTAGAGCTAGGCTTATAACTATTATAAACTAGTCTTACTATAGAGGTAATTTATATAGTTAAAAGTGGCTTATTGTTTCTAGATTGTATTATGCTACGCTTTGTGGCTAAATACTGCCATGTTCCTAAATCGCGGAGCGATATTATGCCGGAAGCGGTGTCGGGCGGCAATATCCCACACAAGGCTACCTTATTCCTTGTGACAGAAAGTCATACCTCACAGCCGGGTCGAGTTTGCCTTATTGACTAGGAACTGTTCCGTTGACGCCTACGCCACGCCCTAAAGCCGTACCGAGAGGCAACTACGACTTTGAAGGACGTCACGACTACGGTGCAGGCCTTAGCGACGGACGCTTCAACAGGTACATCTATGGCTACTGAAGTGGCCTCCGCCGAAGAGATGATGCCGTCAATCTACCCTCCTAGAATTGGGCACTACCGCTAGTACCGGCGCTACAGAGGGTAAGCAGAAGGCAAGGAGGCAGCGGAGAAACCGTTCGAAGAAGGCCTCGGAGCAAAGATTAGCCCGACAGGTCAACCCGCGTGCTCCGGGTACCTTCGAAGATTGCCTTGAATACCAGAGCTTTCTGCCCTTTGAACTACTTTACAGGAAGGCAGATCGGGGCCAGGATTACCTAGGTGATTTGGGCATCAATGACTGCAGGTACACAGCAACCAAGCATGATGTTAGTCGTAATTTAACCTAGACAATAGTCAAATCAACTACTGCTGTGGTTTCTTTCTTCCCTCTTTCCCATCACAAATAAGACAACTCCTCGAAGAACGTGTCATGCTGATTTGAAAGTTGCCTCTGCCGCCTTCAGTGTTACAATGACAAACTCCACTGGGGCAGGCTAGGAAATCAAAAGGGTGTGATTAGCCTAGGCTCAAGGGCCCCAAGCAGCTAGTAAACATAGTACAAAGGCACAGAAACTTAGTATATACTATAACTAAGGCATGTACAAAACTATCTTATTCTTGCCTACTAAGATGAAAGGTTAACCTTACTAATTTTTAACTACTAACAGCATATTCTATATACCCTACTTCAGACAGTCTATACCTTATTACTTAGATTTCTAAATTTAACCTAATTTCTTTTATATTCATTATAACGCTTGTATAGCTTTATATAGTGATAGTAGTAAACCTTATAGATATAGCTATTATAGTTAGTAATTTGACAGCAGGGCTTTTACTCATAGTATAGCTAAGGTTAATATGTATCTATTGTGAAGCTAACAATCATGCCTTCAAGGTTTTCGCAAACGCTTCAACGGCGTCTAAAATCGACCCGTCAGGCTCTAGGCCCAGCCCATAAGCTCTACTGACATCGAATCGAGCCGCCCATGTACTTACAATGGCCGAGATTTTAGGATCACTCTTCTCCTCCACCTGCGCCAGTGCCTCCTTGCCACCAACCTTTTCCACTGCGTCGAGAATCTCCTGAACCGTAACCGTAATCCCAGGAAGATTTACGACCCTCGAGTCACCAAATTTCTCCTTAGGCACATCCTTGATTTTAATGAGGTTCTTGACAACTGTTGCGGGGCTGCAGACCCAGACCTCGAGGTCACGGCTGACGGGCAAGATGTTCTTGATGCCTTTCAGAGACTCACGCACGATGCCGGAGGCGAAGCTAGATGCTGCAGCGGATGGGGCACCAGGTCTGACAGTAACTGTGGGAAGGCGTACAATTCGACCGTCGATGAGGCCGCGTCTTGAGTAATCTTCCAGTAACAACTCAACGATGAGCTTCTCGGTGCCGTATGATGTCTTGGGTTTTGGCACCGTCTCGCTTTCGATGACTGGTTGCCGGGGGCCGTAAACCGCGCATGAACTGGTGAAAACGACGGTGGTTCCGGGATAGTTCTCGCGGAGATAATCCAGGACATTCCGAACCGAGTCAAGATTGACCTTAAGACCTAGATCTAGGTTTGCTTCCGTGCCACCAGACATGAGCCCATGCAGCAGGTACACTGCGCCGAACTGTTTTGAGAGCAAGGAGCTCACCGCCTGTGAGTCCGTGAGATCTGCTTTGAGTGAATTGATACGGCTGCTCGCTTCGGTCACGTCGATCGGGATTGGGGGCTCTACGACATCCGTGATGGTAAGGGTCGTAGCGGGGTTGGCTTTGATGAGGGCACTGACGAGGGCCTGGCCGACGAAGCCAGCAGCGCCTGTTACGAGGATTTCGTTCGACATATTTTGTTTTACAGTGGAGTTTTTCGGACTCGCTGTTGGTGAAAGCTACCAGAATCAAAAATTGCAAGAATAGCTGTGGTATTATTTGGAAAAAGGTTCGCAATCCCGCCTCTCGGGTATAATTGTCCACGGTCCGACCTCGCTTTACCCCTCTCGCATCTCAATGAGGGGAACGTATTACGTCGTCAAGCTTCTCCCCACCTTTCCTGCAAGTTACCGAACTCGCCCGGTCATGAACGGAAAGGTATGCCAGCCACCCTCAGTATTCGAAGCCCCTGGTCAGACCAGCAGCTGAAGCAGCATATCCGAGTTGGGCGTCAGTGAGAATACCGATGGACCCAATTGCTGCGCGATGGCTTCGCCACCGGGCGGGGAACAACCCACATTGATCCTAAAAGGCGGGGGTAACAAGGATGAACTATTAGTATGCTCTCACAGAAAGAGTTGACCCCCAGGAGCGAGGTCACAAATGGCGTTGAAGCAAGACGAAATCCTCATATATCGAACAAGAAGATTTACGGAGATTCTGTCATGGGCTGATTACATTAAGTGGCTGCTACAGCTTCGATGCTTGATTAGACTCGGACTCACGACAACGTCAAGACGGAATACGTAAGGTCAGTTGAATGCCTCTCACTGTCATAAACTCCGTGCCCTCGTTGGCGTCTGACCAAAAACGTTTCGCTATGGTTTAACCGTGAGCTAGGTATCCTGCTTCAGTCGTTCCTTTCAAGGCTTTTAGTCACTGAAACCCTTAAGTCAAGCGCAAGGGACGAGGCGAAAGAGGAGAAGTTCAGCTCTCAACAAAAGATGACCTGCGTGCTATGAGTAACTCCCGTGGTTGGCCGTGGATGCGGAGAAGGGCCAAGGAGGCCAGCCAAAGGTGACAAGTTCCGACGGGGGTTGAGAGATCAAAGTTATTGTTGCTCCCTTACCCAATCTCTCAGTACGACAGCATTCGTTATGGAATGAAGAAACATGCATTTTCTTGAAGAGCAAAGTGAACTTGTCAACAGGTTTAACTTGTTGTTAGGCTATTATCTGAATTACCGTCACCACTGTCAATATCAGAAACAGGTTATTCGATGGTTGCCGCTGTTTCCTGCTTGATATAAGTATTCAGATAATAATGCCAGCTTCCCTAAACTTTCTGAATGCCTCGAGCCATCCTTCAATTGGGTCTCTTTCTTCCATGAACCCCAATGACCGAAGTCTATCCAGGCTCAACTGTCGATCAAATGAGAGCCAATATCCCACGCTATCAAGTTGAGAGCTCCCACCACCGACGTCAGCAACCGTAGCCTTGTCGAGCCCCTTTTCCACAAAATGCTGCTTGTTCCCTTTCACATACTCGCCAGGCTTCGATGGCTGGCTGTATTCCGTAGGACCTACGCCTTTTAGTCCGAACCAGTTGGCAAGCGACGGCCAGATTTCGCTAAACGTGGTAGGCCTTGTGCTGTCCGCTATGTTGATGACTTTTCCATGACATTTTTCACCGTTTAACGAGGCGTAAACAGCGATGCGACCAAGACTGCGAGAAGATACGGGAGTGAATAGACTATTATAGCCACTCTTGCTCCCTGGAAACGGAATTTCAACGGGAAGATTAGACTTCCCGTCACGTCCGCGATTGTAAGCGTATAGGGAGAGATACTGTGCCCAGTGGAGGGCAAGAGAGAATCCGGACCCGTTTGGCGTGAAGCCAATGACTGCATCAGGGCACACTTCTGACCATGTCCACGGCTTGCCTTCGCTCGCCTTGGTAAGAATCCTCCTGAACCACGGATATGCGACTGTCTTGGCATACTCTTCTGAGAAGTTGTCTGCCATCGACTCCTTGAGGGGTGCCTCAAATGTCCCTCCCGGGACATAAATTCCGTATCCCTATGCTTATGAGCCAAGTGTTGTGAGGTAGCCTATCAAATGAGAAGCTTACCCTCGTGCCTCCAGGGTAGATGAATGATTCGAGTTCTGGTGACAACAACCTGAGTGCATCCACAACCCTCTGCATTATGCCGCAGTTGACCTCACGCTCCTGAATGTGGTCCTCTCCTACCTGCTGGAAAACTGCATGTAACCCTTCGTCAGTCGCAAGAGATGAAGTAGAAGCAAAGTTCCGTACCAAAAGAGAAAACATGGCTGACATTTTCGATTCCCTTGACATTGCCTTCCAGCTGTCTAACAAGGTCTTCGGTTGTGCCATTCAGGTTCACCCCTGACACGATCTGCAAAGAAGGTCGGTTCGGCGTGTCTCGAGGCCAGAAGAACTCGGACTCGGGTAGAGGGCGGTTTATGACAGCGGTGACCTGATCGAAGGAACCTTCAGTAGGGTAATTGGAGAGCAGCTGTTCAACAACCGCCCAACCAAGGGGACCTGTAGCTCCAAAGACAATGGCGTGTCTGTGTGCAGACATTCTTACTCAGGGCTGGGCGGATCGATAGTAACAATATAAAAAAGTAATTATAGTCTTGACATGGCTATAGTTACGATATATAAAAGCCTGAAATTTTCAACGCAGCTCCTGGAAGGATGGAACCCGAACAATGCACGGACGCCTTGACATCGACGCTCCTGCTGAGCCATTATGATTCATAGCAGGGGTGCTGCTTCGATTCCGTCTTAGTGACTTGAACATTGCCGCTAACGGAGCCCTAAAAGCTAAAAGTTCGGTATGCGCCTGTATTCGCTATCCTGAGGCCGCCTTCGGATAGGTGTAGGTACTGAACGACAAAACTACTCCGCTTTCCAGTTTGGTAGCGAACTTGATGTGCCCCCAGGATGACCACAAGACCATGATTTGTAGAGACTGGATTTTTTGATATGTTGGTTGAAATTGACGTCAAAATGCATTCCATACGAAGGTAAAGAAGAGCATATTATCCAAGGGCATGGGCCAGTGTGTGCTGTGTACCCATCCAACTAGCCAAGGACAAAGATATCGAGTCTGGGCCTTCTAACTTCTCAGTTTCCTTTCAGCGCAATCAACAGGTCTGGGTGACACACTTTGGGTGTATAGCATCGTCCATTGTTGCGATAATAAGTATAAAAAAATGCCGATGTCAACGCGAAAGGATCAATTTGGAGAGTATCCACAACTGCGTGACGGCGAGAGACTTCTACGGAAGACAAGCAAGGGATCGATCTGACTCCGTAGGACATGGCTCCACATGGATTGGTTTGCCCCTTGTCCTCATAGAAGGTGTTTCACAGGGATAAGTATTTTTTACTTCTTTCACCTCGCTTCGTCCGTGCTTTGTATAGTACAACTCTTTCATCGTCCCTTTTGTCCATTCGCGAAGTCACAGGACTTGGTGAAAGCTCATAAACTTGGTTCCATCTCTAAAAGTGCCCGAATCATCTGAGTTTGTCCGGTTTTATCTTGCTGAGGAGATGGAGGGGTACCGTCGTTGGCGTTTGGGGATGTCTTGTAGTGCTTGCCAGTGTATCACAGATTCAGATATTCAAGGCCGCATGTATTAATCTCGGTCTTCCCTTGCAGTGTCAGTGCTCTCCTACAGCATAGATAAACCTCATGCTCGCTATTCTTGAACTACCTGCTGAACATGTTAGTCCTGCCAGCAAACGCATATACTCTCCTGATCAAGTTGGTGCTCTTCATAAGCAGCCACATTTTCGCTACCACCATATTGTTCTTCTGCTACCTTCATCCATAATCGTTATGAGGCCTGGCTTGGGTATCATTTTCTCGCTGTTGGCAGCATACAGGGTCATGGCAGCCCCGTCAACTGATCTCGTCCTGCCACGTGCTCGACTGGTCACAAACCCATACAAGACAAGCTGCTCTGACGTTCGAATGATCGATCCCAGACCTCTTTTAGAAACGAAGTTTGCCGCGCCATATCTGGTAGCCAGATGCAAAGGATTTGGCAACGAAAAATGCAGTTGGGTACCTTTGCAAGCCTGCTTTGCTAACACCAACGGCGAGATGACGTATGCAAAATAGTAAGTCTAGATGCCGGAACGGAGCTGTTGTAACATGTAATTGTTTCTGCGTTGATATCTGACAGCCCGTGCCTTTAGCGGCGCGTTCGATCAGTCCTGCGATACATGCGAATACGACGCCATGACCACGGGGATGACATGCAACTGCTATAAACCTGAGGTTAAAGACTGGATCAAGTCCACGATCTACCTTGGTAAGACAATATGCACATGCCAATACAAATTCCTCGGCTAACGGGTAGTCGACAGGCCAATACATCGACAACAGAGGCGGCCGACTTTATTGTCAGGGGTTTGTCGGTTTCGAAGTAGAGTGCAAAGAGGCAGAGATGATGAGGATCAGGAAAGGAGTTAGTTAAACCCGAGGAGGCTGGGTAGCGAAAGGTGGATGCACGATGTGTGAAGCCGGGTGGGAACAACGCGACGGTGGGGGAATCATCTCTATATCGGGGTTATCTCCATCATGACTAAGCAGACAATTATTGGATTGGGGACTATATGCCCTACCATGCAATAAAGCAGCTAGCTCTCCACTTTACGCACCTACAAAACTCTGATGGGGCGTTGAATTTTTACCTCTTTTTTTTCTCCCACCATCACCGATCATTTTCTAGGTTGCGTACTTGACTTCTCGGAAACGAAGCCAACAGCACAAGGAGGGTCGAGGGTCGACGAGCTTTTCTTGCCAAACCATGTAGCTGCTCTCGTGTGCACCATGGGCGCAGTTCATCTCTACCTCGTCCGCCACGGCGAATCAGTGGACAACGTCGCGAACCTCTTGTACGCGCATTCCACCTCGCACCAGCTCTGGTCGAGGGCTTCCTCTGCCTCACGAAGATCCCTCATCTAACTGAGTTTTGCTTGTGTTCTTGCAGTGCAGGGTCTCGCGACGCGCCTCTTACGTCACATGGCGTCCTCCAAGCCAGACGTCTGGGTGCTCACCTCGCCACACGAACCGCCTCGGCCTCGGCTAGCATCACGCACATCTTCGCTTCAAACCTCCAACGCGCCCATCGCACTGCCGCAGCGGTCCGCGATGCCGTTGACTCGCACCCCTCCGCCTCGTCGTCGAGAGTTGGCGCGATTGAGGTCGTGCAGCTTCCTGAGCTCCGGGAAAAGCATTTTGGCACAGGTGAGGGGCAGAAGTTTGGCGCCCGCATGGGCTCTGGCCCTGACAGACCCAGGCACGAGGGTGCTGAGGACCAAGGGGCCATGCGTATGCGAGCTGAGCGGTTCGTTGAGGACTACCTTGCTCCTATATTCGCTTGTATGGAAGCGGAGTCCGGGGACGGCGCGGAAAGCATTGTCATCGTCGCTCACGGTATCATCCTGGGCGTGTTGGCGAGGGTTCTCTGCACCGTTGGAAGTTTTGCTGCTGTAGGGCCTGTCACAAAGGATCGCATACATTTCTCGTGGAGCAATACCGGTTACGTTGAGATGCACATCACGACGACGCCGGTATCGAGCGCGTCAAAGCAAGCGGTGCCCACTGTCAAGTGGCCCGGTCTGGCGCTCAAGACCGTCGCAGTCAACTGCACCGACCACCTTCGAGGGCTCAAAAAGACCGGCGGCGGTATTGGCAGCGCAGAATTTGACGAGAAGCAAAAGACGCTCAGGTTGTTTTTTGCGCCCACGTCAAAGAAGCGCAAACATGACGAGGCCTGACGGACGCTGTTCCTCGGCTAAGCCATGTATTATGTATTGGTATTCGAACTATATCAGTGTTGATGCTGCAGCATTATGTCGATAGCACAGGAGGGCTCTGGGATTTATACTTGGGGACTAGTGCGTCGCACATGGATGTCTTCATCCAGGTTCGACACATCCTGCGTTATCACCAAAGGTATGCCCTGTCTTCTTTCCTATTCTTTTCACACCAACCTGCTTTTCATGATGAGGCAAGAATATTCACAGACCTGTACCGAAACGATACATGTGGAAACAACTTCGTCCAACCGCTGTCTGACAAAAGCCCCCAACTTTTTCATATTCTTTTTGGCTCTGGTAGTTTGAGCCTAAGCTAACTTGCCCAAGAGCGTGCTTGCAGATCTTGAACCTTGATGCGATGCGTCGTCACACGAAACATGCATCCTGATGAGTGCTGGAGGGTTCGAACCCCTCTATCCTGCGTCCAGCTGGGGACAGTACTCAGCAGTCACCTCGGCGGCCCTTTTTGCGAGGGCGTAGCTGTTGTGTAAAACAAAAACTCTACTCCCGCAGGACTATATTGAGGGTTATAGACGGGGGCTGGGGGTTTCCTGCTAGACTGCCACGGGTAGGTTGCCTAGTTTTGATCGGTTAGGTAGTATCTGAATATAACTCGTGTGAATCATCATTATTTTTTCTTGTCCTTTCATATAGTGCAGTCCTTATCATTCACATGTTTTCGAGTGTCCCAAATGCCATGGGTCGAAAACGGTTTTTAACCATCCTACAAACTCATCTTCCGTCTCATGATATGCCATAATTCATGTGCCTAACCGCTGAAATACTACACGTCCGTACTCCATTCATCACGTCCAGTAAATACCTTGTAAACCCTCTTACTAATGGCCTTGCCGACCGCCCGATCCGAGAACCCGCCGTCCTTGTTTGTGCTCTTCCTGCAGTTCTCCAGACACAACGGCCCTCGCTCCTCCAACGCCTTCACCAGCTCCGGCACTGTCCCAAACTCGGACACGATGCCGTAGGCGACGGGCTGCGTGACACGCACAATCTCCTGCAACATCCGGACGTAGGTGTCCTTGACGTCTTCGCCGGTGCGGACCTGGCCCGTCTCCATGCAGAAGCCGGCGCCAGCCGCGTTGGTCGCCTCGCGCTGCTTTCGGTACGGCACCGTCGAGATGTGTTGGGTGAAGATGGCGATCCACTGCGCTGTCTCGACGGCGGCATTCGTATGATGGATCAGAGCGCCATGCATCACCTGTAATTGGAGCAGAGCGTCCTCGATCGAGTCCTCGTCAACGTACTCCTGCGGTTGCTGATTCTTACGCCGCCGCGGCTGACGACTCGTGGAGGCATCATCCGGGGCATCGTCCCCATGACTCCGTACTGCAGAGGCGAACTGGCGGTTGCGGACGTTGCGATTCTTCCTCATCCACGGGTTGAGACCTTCGATGAGGTAGATGAGCTGCTCCTGCGGGAAGTGTCGCTTCATCTTCAGTGCGTGGGCCTCTAGATCGTTTCCTTCGGGTCCAAGAGCACATGTCACGAAATCGTTTGCGGTAACGATGACGAGAGCGAACTTTTCGGGCTCAACGCGCATGGGAATAGGTTCCCAGTGGCCCAGCTCGTCGTTGAATTTACTGGCGACCTTTCTTCTCCACTTCACAACGTTGTCCACCGGACTGTCCCATGTGGTGTGTTGCACATCGAGGTCTTTCAGCAATGTTTGTATCTGCAGCGTAACGGCGGCAGATAAGCTCGCTGGGAGATCCGCAATCATCTCCGGCGTCGATACTTTCTTGTCGGTCCTGATTTTGTTAACCTCTGCCAAAGCAGCAGCACGCTCCTTCTCTCTGGCCTTCTGCTCCTTGGCCACCTCCTTCTCTTGTTTCTTCCGTTCCTTTTCCTGTTCGCGCTCCGCTGCTTTGGCCTCTCTTTGCCTCGCCTTATCTTCGGTCGATGTCTTGGTTGCGATCCTGGCAGATGTCGACTTGGTAGTGGTTTTCGACGACGCCTTGGAGGCGGTTCGGGGGGCTGTGGTCCTGGTGTCTAATCGGGCTTTGAGCTTCACAAGGTCGAAGTTTTCAAGGTCCGGGAACTCCTCATCGGAATCAGTATGGAGATTAGGAGGTGCATTCTCAGTGTTGCTGAGGTCGATGACTGCACTGACAGCCTTCGCGAGAGACTTTCGTGGCGGCGGCGGCGAAGAGCTGTCGAACGGGTCGGTCCTCGTTCTGGGTTCGGGCGCGGAGCTGGATATCGGGTCCCAATTGGCTTTCCGTCTTGGCGAAGCGGCTTTCTGCTTTCCCTTCTCCCGCGTCGCGCCCGTTTTGTTGCATTCTGCAGGCTTCATGGTCTGCACTGGTGCTCGCTGTGGTGAACTGGCGAACGGGTCATCATCGTCATCGTCCAAAATTATCGTACATGGTTCCACCGCTGGTTTCAATGGGGGGTGAGGCGAGATTGCAAAGGGGTCGGAGGTCAAATCATATTGCACACGGGTGCCAGAGGCGACTGTAGGTCTTTCGGGACTTTGCCTGCTGAGTACAGGTTGGGCGGAGGGTGGCAGCGCAGTGGATGGGTCGTCGGATTCTAGCCTTTCGTTGGCCGTTGTGGAAGCTAGCACCGGCCTGGAGGCAATTCCCGGTGAGCTGGAAAATTCGATTGGGTCTACTATGGCACGAATCCGACGTGGTCCCCCTGATGGCTTGACTGGCGGACGCCCCAGCTGGTCCGCGACAGAAAGTGAACGGTCGGAAGGACTGCTACTTCTGCTTCGCCGCAGGGGTGACAATCTTGGTCTCTTTGTATCTCGGGGTTCATCAAATGCGCTATTTGCTATCGGTAGGCTGCTTTCGAGATCGATAGTTGTATCGAAGTCGTCCGAATTGAAGTAGACGAGCGTGTCTATGGGGGCTTGTTCTTCTCGAGGTCGTTTCGCTCCGGATCCTGTCACAGGGGAGCATATAGTATTGGCTTCCTCGAATAGTGATGGCGGTCGCGGAGCTGCCTCGGGCGAATCAGCTGTCAAGTCGAAGACATCGTCGTTGTCAAAGGCCGACACCCTCGTGTCAACATTGATTGTTGCTGGTATTGGAGGATGGGATGGTGAGGGTTCCACTCGGTCAAGAGAAGGCCCAAAGGACGGGCTCGAAAGCAAACTGATTATATCGACAGGCATGTCTTCTTTCCCCAGCTTCAAATCGATTGAGCTGGGGTAGTGAAAAGCATGGACATGCAACGATACGATGCAGCTGGACGAGTTGCATTCCTTATCCAAGAGTCGCGTCTCCCAATGGCGCAGGTGGGGTTGGCGGCGCAGGGCTTGCGCGAAACCCTCACGTCAGTCACGTGTCTGAGGACGGCTTTCGATGACTCAGCAAAGAACACTCTCACACTCCCAGGAACTTGTTAGTTACTACATTTTACGAACTATCACTCAAATGCCGATTCGCTCTTGTCTTCTTTTATACTCAATGATTCTTTACCTATGGTCCGACTGAAGCAAAGGCAAATAAGACCATGCCCTCTCTGTACTAACCAGATAGACAATGGGCAATGAGGGCTCTTACCCCCGCGCCAATTCTCCAAGCGACGTGGCATCGATCGTGCATGGTGGGCAGGGGCTGTTTTGCTAAGCTTTCAGAAGTCAAACTCGTGTCTCTAAGGCCTCACAAGCTACGGTACTTGCGGCGGAGCGCCTTGTTTGTTCAATTATTCCATCACGGCCAACGTTCTTGATTGCGAGCGGTCCAGATCTTCGTCAGCACACAAAAGGACCAGCGCGGTGCGGATCATGTCATGAATCAACCTACGTCGAGGCCCATGTGCAAATCACGCCACAACCTGCCTGCACAGGACATGGGACTGGCCTTGCCATTCCTGCCAAGAGGTCTGACCGCCGGCTATTGTGATTGCGACGGGCCGACGACATACTAGGCCGGAGCCGGCTACATCGACATCAATCTAGAGCTGTGAAAGAGATCGAGCAGCCAATTGACCGAAAGCGTTTAGATGCTTGCTAAAACGTTACAACACCCCACGCGGGTAATGACAGCTCAATGTTACTCGTAGTTCGGGGCAGCTTCACCGAGGCAAATCATCGGCAGTTAATAACAATGGGTCGAGGGGTCGACAAGCTGTCAACGCACCGGAGGTAAAAACACTTGATGCAGGAGTTTATGTGTTGTCTCGATAGCATCAACCACCAGCGATGACGCTGTGCTCCTCAGGCCGGAAGCCTTTAGCCACCTTCCTGCTAGCTAGCCAGAGCCTCCTAAGCTGGTCAAAGCAAGGCCATATGCCAAGAATGCCGCGGTACAAGGTGGTTTATGAAGGCGTATCGTACTGGCTGGTTGATAACCAACTCAGGAATCTTGTTTGTCCCCTTCACATTCTCGTCAGGAGCCCCTGAGCTAAGCGCGCTTTCCATGCCTATTCAGCAATAGACAGGTCTGGAAAGTAGATCAAAGTCGTGGTCAAGAGTCAACCGCCCAGTGCCACGCACAGACAGGTCAACCGTCAACCTCATGGTGCATAGATGTAAATCGCCGGATGAGCCTATGGTAGGTTTGCCCTTTTCAAGAATAGTACCATATATCGTCATGATTAAAGCGGTTTACGGGCATGGTCGCGTGGAACGTTTTAAGCTGTGACGAGGTCCCGCACAACTCTTGTCAAAAACGAGTAGAGCGGGCGGTTCACCATGATCACTTCCCAGCCGTTAGGCCGGGAGATTTGTATATATAAGTCTTGGCAGCAGGCCTCTTGTATGCAGACACACCAGCCAGAGGGTCACCGAAACGACAACCGCAAAAAGCTTCATGATGTTGATTCGCATATTTCACACGCCTGCCTGCTTGACAACTGTTCTCAGCGTCGGACACAGCATCGTCAACTCAGATTAAGTCAGGCCATTGATTGTCAACTCGTCGGTTAGGAGTTATTGGCAACAACCGGAGCTACCGCACATTGGATAATGACATCGGGCTGGGTGCAAAAGAAATCTCTGCACCCTATCACGGAGAGCTTACGCGGAGTATATCTGGAATACCCCGGGCCTGGGGCATTCCGCAGGCTCAGATTGGCCTGACAAAGGTGTATTTTGTCCCCAAGTTGAACTGAGGTACGAATGCAACAGCCCCCCAGTCCTCAAGTTGAACTGATATGCTGTAACATGACAACCACAAATAGACACAAGGGTCGCTTGCGGAAACGTGCAGCAAAGTTTGACGCTATCCGATGACTTAGGGGTCCGCACACATGCCGTATGTCGAGGCATCGATGTGGAGTCAGGTTCGCACGAGAACAGAATTGCTTCCGTCACAACTCGCTCGTAGGTTGTAAAGTTTCCCATCACTGCCCCAGAACGATAAATAAGTTTAAATATCAACCGAGACGCTCTGCCTTGCTTCACTTTTGAACAGTATCAACCACCCAGCTACCACCTGGGTCCGTCTCGACGTCAACTTAAGGGCTTACCGGTCTTGCGCACCAGTGGCCGAAACTTGGCGCGATGAACGTTGGCAACCCCCACTCGAGAAGTTTAGCTTTCGCCCTGGCCAGCCATCGCGGCATACCTGGATGTAGACGAGCCGCTTGAGGAAGCAATAGGCTGTTCTATACAGAATACGTGGCCTGCATCCCTCCCAATTACTGCTGATTGGTTCCGCTACAGAACGAGTCATTGGGGAGGGTAGAGAGCTGGGCTTGAAGGAGCTAGGCAGTGCCCGCCATACTCCTGCGAGACTTCCGATATCTAAGCCGTACGATGTTTCAAGTACTCAAGTCCTGGAACCTTATTTCGGGCTGTCTACAAAGAGAGGAAGCGTTGTATGCTTTATAAGACGGCAGGCGCCATGCTACCAGCGCACAGCCTTTTCGGTCTGTCCACTTTGACCTTCCAATGTTCTCCCTGCCTCTCGTCCCGCATCCAATGGCTCCAAACTCAACCGGGCCAAAGACTCTTGGCAGCCCAACACGCACTTGCTAAAGGCGTTCAAGTCCTTATACACCGCCGCCCGCCAAGTTCGACTTGTAATGGGCTGCTGAGGGAACCAAGAGCAGACGTCTTGTCCGAACACCCCCCCTCCCCCCGTCCTAATCAGGCGAATCCCAGGAAAGGGAGTGGTACGAAGAGAATAAGCAAAGGGGCAGAACGGTGGTGCGTGAATAGACAAAGTGATAGGAGGGGGAATTGACCCCAGACTTCCCGAACGACACGACCTGCGGGGGATTCGCATGTCTTGCCCCCCCGCACTCCCCCTTGCTCTGGAGAAACCATCACGCCAGCCTCGCTCCCGGCGAAGGAGAAGAAGAGAAGGGCAGGAAGGGAAAAGGGGGGTTAAAAGGGAGACCCGAGCCGGTCATAGTGGGAACAGTCATGACAGAATTCGTCAATGGCGCCGTCGTACTTACGCAGAACGAGCTGATGGCGGTCGCGGCCCTGGCGACGGCGGGCATCTACAACGCGGCCGAGATATACGTCTTCATCTTCGCCACCTTTCGCAGGCGCCACGGCCCCTACTTCTGGAGCATGATCGTCGCCGACAGCGGCATCTTCGTCCACGCCATCTCCTCGCTGATACACTACCTCGGCCACACCGTCATTATCCCCGGCGCCCTCGCGGTGGTCGGCTGGGTCGCCATGGTCACCGGCCAGTCCCTCGTGCTGTGGTCGCGCCTGCACCTCGTCGTCTACAGCCGCCGCTGGGTCCGCTCCGTCCTCGCCCTCATCATCGCCGATGTCCTCATGCTGCACGTCCCGATGGCCGTGCTCTGGGCGGTGTCCTTGACCGCGCCGCAGACGGACCGTGCCGCATGGCTCCGTCGGTACCTCGTGTACGAAAAGGTCTCCATCGTCGTCTTCTCGATGCAGGAGACGCTCATCACGGGCATCTTTGCGTGGCAGGGCTACCTTAACATGAGGCCGCTGTTCGCCTTCAAGACGCGGATGGCGCGGCTGATATGCATCTACCTCATAAGCCTCTTCTTCCTCGTCTTCCTGCTAGACGTCGGGCTCATCCTCCTCGAGCAAACGAACCACGCCGTCTTCCAGACCACCAGCAAGCCGTTCGTCTACAGCATCAAGCTGAAGGTCGAGTTCATCGTCCTCAACAAGCTGCTCGCATTCACCAAGATGAACTTGTGCGACTGCCACCAACTCAACGACACGTCGCGCGGCTACTCCAAGGGCGTCATGACGAACGATACGATGACCACGGCCAAAGGGTGGGCCAGGAGCCAGAGAGAGGGCCACAGCAGCAACGTGTTGGAGACGGTGCCAGACGAGGAGCGCCCAGATCACATCTTTGACGGATCGTCAGTGCTTGAGAGGGGGAAGCAAAATCTCGGTTCATGAAATTATGTATGGCATTCAAGTAGTGAGCAATAACAAATTTGATACCCTCTTTGATAGCCCTCCTTCATAGCCCTCCTTCCCCGTCTTCTGATAGACCAAGAGCAAAATGAATGCAATTGTTCAATATCATATCACGCTTTCAGTCGTTCACAAGCTTGCCAGCGTAATGCCTCAGAATTCTGCATTGCTCATCCCGATATATCGTGCGCCCCAAGCGGTTTTGAGAACAGACAAAGCCCTCCCCGTACGGCTTTCTGAATCGAAGCTGACGACTCGTTTTTTTAGAGTTGAGAGGCGTTTCATTGAGCAGTCGCGTTCCCGAATCCCCATCGCCTAACGAGCAAATCCCGTCCCAGGCACATCCAAGTTACTACGCGGTTCCGCGGACATGATTGAACTCTCTGTTCCGAATTTGGGAACCGCACCTTTCAGGTTTGGGCCTGTGCGATGGGAGCGCTGATGGATTTGCCTTTGCCTCGTCCGTTGGTGTGGGTGCGAGTTGACTCGGACGGGTGGCCTTCAAAACGTCTTCCCTGGCCCGACGGCCGCCAACTACCCCGGGGGAGGCTCGGTGAATGGCCCAATGTTTCCGTCCCATCGAGACCCCAACTCATGAAAACTCAATCCAGTCCAGCCGTAAACTGTAAACGCAAATCACACGGTCCAGAAACAATCTTGTTCAACAGTACTTTGGATAACTTCCCAGGCGCACAACCTTTGCAGTCTATTCTCTCGTTGCGTCACCATTAGAGACGCACGTCGGCCTGTATTTCCAAAAAAGCGCATAATCCGGCCCAATCCGGCCACAGGCGCCTATGCATGCTGACCGAGCTTCCCAAAGTCAATGCTACGCGCGCGTTCGGGGCGCAACGAGAACATGGAGTCCGATTAGGGTTACCGAGGCCTGATTACAATATGTTTACATGTGGAAGCAGGCTGTCAAGAAGGACGCCGGATGTCTTTTTTTTTCCCCTTTTGTTTTTCTCTTCTTTTTATCGTCAAGAGGTTCATCTTACCTGGGAACACTCATGAGGCAAGGATATTGTTTAATGCGCGGACCAAGATCGACTTTACTCGGCAGAACATCCATAGAAGAGACTCATACTCAGCACATATAAATTCAATGAGCCCCCGCCTCGCCGCAAAGGATTCGCAGAGTAGTAGTATATTGGACATCCCGCTCATTTGCATACCCAGAGTGACTTTTTCTTTTCTAAATTCCTTCATGGGTCCGGGCACTACTTGACTGAGGGATAACCTCTGCTCCAGGGCCTGCTTCTATTAGAGGGGAACATCACCATCAACACCACCACTTTTACCACCACCATGATTATAGTGCCGGACTGGGAGAAAAGACACCTGGGTCTCGTATGAGTGTCCTCCCAGGCTCCCTTCAAGGCACTCACTTGTGCGAGCAACCCACAATCAAGAACATGGACCAATACGGGGTTAAGTGAACTGTTGTGATGGAAGGAAACCGGTCAAAAGGTCCAGAAAAAGCTAGAGAAAGGAAGGGGAGCCAAGACGATACTTGGTTCCCTTCCCTTGCAACATCTAAACCTATGCCTACTATTTCCAACTTAACCTATCCTGGCCGGAAATGGTGCGACTACCCAGTGTGCCCCCCAGCGTAAAATCTTGCTCGGAGAAGTGCCGTACGGGAAAGCGGCGCCAGGAGGCCAGATTCCTGATCGTACCGTAACGATGTTAAACAGCTGGGGCAAATGACATTGTGCAACACGTCTGTCCCTTTGTCCCGGGGGAACGGCGTCTACATCAGGCGAGGAAGGGCCTTGTCAGTTCCAAGTGAACAACAGCCCAATGTTTGCGTTCGAAATTATCTCTATTGTGTCGTTGTGTTATTGCGTACACCTATGTGAACTTTACGAGGGGTCGTGTTAGATACGTAACTCGGCTGCCTTCCAGGACCGAACATTCGAGACCGCGTTCCTGTTGATTGATGCAAGCTGCGGCTGCTATCATTCCACAGCCGCCTCCGAGCGGCTTTCTGCCGTCCTTGGCATGCCCGTGTTTTGTTCAGCAGCTCCTAACGCAGATTTGCCAAGAAAAGGCCTCCTCTAACGGAGGGGAGGTGCTAAGTAAAAGCGCCGCCGGAAAGCTGTCTTCCCCCTGGCCTTCTTCCCCAACAGCTCGATGTATTGATTTGTTGGTAATGGCAACGTCGAGAGAGCGAAAAGACAGCCTCACGATTTCATGTAAGCGATGTTGTTTACCACACACCCCTGTGCCCTTCCGGCGAGAGCGGCCCCGCTACGGATAAGACGGAGGGAGGGGAACGGTGTCCGGCAGCTATCCTTTTCTGAGAGGCTGCCACACCAGTGGCGGTGGCTTCCGATTCCCAAGGGCCTCTCCACATCGCACATAACATTAAATAGATGGAGGATGGCCAGATCGATCGGTGCATTGTGAAACAGGTATCGGTCTTGGAAGTACGGAAAGGTGCGTTTGAAAAAAAAAGGAACGCTGGCAGGGAAGGGGAAGGGGAGAGGGGGGACGGTGACGAGACAATGGCGGCAAGCCACCATGAGTCCATGACCCTGTATGTCGCGCAGCACAAACGTGTATCCAAGAAAAGGCTACGCCATTTCCTTGAAAACAACCAGTGTTTATTACTCCGTAATTAGCTTGAATTTGAGGTGCATCGGCGGTTTGCTTGACCGTATGGGAGATCGGCTGATTCAATATATCGCCGGGGAGGAAATGAGAGTGACTGCATTGTGCGTACTAGAGGATCGGATCTTCTTCAGATCGCCCTTCTCTCCCATGATGCGAATCTTGGCCCCGCGTTCCAAAGCAACCTATGGATGGGGGAGATGAGCGCGTGCGCACATCACGCACCGCGTACTTCCCTGTTGTTTTGGCCGTCGGATCGTGGGATCTCCGTGTGATCCTCGACAAGAGAGCAAGCTTCATCTTTGACTCTCTGGGGTGATGTTGCTCGAGCGGATGAACACACGCATGTACATCAGGCCTGTGTTAACCCCCTATCGTGGGGAATATAGTACATATCCAGCCAGATATTGCTCATTCAAACCCATTTTGCACCACGGAAGTGTAGCACTCCGATCCGGAGCCCTAGTCACCATTTCGGCGTTTTGCCAAGTCTGAAGAATACATTCGTCCTCGAGGTCGACAATAAGACAGCCGTCCGGGCAGTAAAATCTTGGGTGCCTGAGATTGCAGGAAGTTTCGCGGTGGGGAACCGAAAGATGTAACAATTCATGGAAATCCAGTCGCTGCAGCGTCCATGGACAGTCGCTCGGGTTGTTAAATCGATGTGGCCGGCTCTCAGACCTCTGCGAACCATGGGACCGGGTGGATGGTGCGGTGTAACGTTGGAACTGGCAAAAGGAGAGAAAACGAACCCCTATTCCTTGCGTATCACCCTGGTGCCTATGAAGGATTATAAAAACGCGTGCGCACGCACGCACGCACGGTGGGTGGCGGGCTAATAGACTTTGCGATCCGACTCGCGCCGGTGACCGCACAGGGCCGCTAAGTTTTTTTCCATGGCTTGAATGCGGGTTTGTCAGGTCTTGGGACCTGAAGTAGACTAGGTACTCCGTAGAGTCCCAGACACTTACGGCGTCACCCGACGACCCGACGAGGAGCGCTGATGGGTCGAAAGGGCATGCTGATACAGAATACAACACACAAGGTTTGGAGTGGGATTGGCGGGAGCGTCGATCAATGCCTCGAGGCGGGAGTTGAGCTGGCCGGATCCGGCCTATTCGGCCTTGTCTGTCCCACACGACACCCATACACGGTACCGATAAGACAAATCATGGAGCCGAGGCTTGTTTCTGCAGACATGGTACGGAGTAGTGATTCATGAGCGTTATGAATTGAGATGGCCGAACCCAACCAGCCATGCCGTCTGCGAGACAGACAGAGACAATGTCGTCAACCTGGTCGGGAAGCTGGCCGGGCCGTCTCTATCGGCGGCATCCTGAGTGTAGTGGCTCGGCATACTGTGAGGCTGGTCTGTTGACAGGCCTCCTGGAAGAGGATAAGTAGCTGTAGGATGAGTCGGAAGACGCAAGCTCAGCTGCGATTTGCCGACTTTTTGCAAGATGGCTTAGCTCGGATGGAAAGCCCGCTGGTTGACCGTGCAGTATATGAAAACTTTCCCCGGTTGACGGCGGTGATGTCTTTTTTTCGGTTATTTTTTTCTTCTCCTCCCCCCTCCTCCTTTTTCTTCTTCTTTGGGACAGCAGCACCGGACATAGATGGGCCGCTAAGACATGCATCTTTCTGGAATCGTCCAATGCTCTCTCAGATGCGGTGGCAAGCGCACTGGTTTCTGCGTCTGCGTCTGTGTCTGTCTGCGTCTGCGTCTCCGCAACACCCTTGAATGCGGGCGAGATACGTGTGGGAGCGAGGGTGTTGTACCTGTAGATGCCGAAATGGGTGGATCGAGCTTGCGCAATCAGTTGGAGAGAGTTAGATGGAATGAGAGGGCGGGCGATTTGTGGTTCCAGACCCTCATTGACTCCGATAGGTTATGGTTATTTGTCACTCGTGACGTTAATACAAGCATATATGCCTCTGTCCATGCCTTTTGGTCTTATGATAATCGACCTCGACTAAAGTGCCTCGATTCTCGTCGCCGTCGCCCTCGTTCGGCAGATGAACACCAAGTTACCACTGAACAGGAGTAGGTCCGACTCCGCCGGGGGACTTCGTCGCCCCTCGACTTCTCCTGGAAGAAAACAAGGGGGCAAAAGGTGGAAAAGGAAAGAAAAGAAAAGGCGATAAGGCGGCGAGAAGAAGTGCCGGAGCAGGGATGAGGAGTCGTGTTTTGGATGTTTCGCGCAAACCGCTGCTGCTTAATTTTCCTGCGTGCCAGTTGTTCCTGTAACGCTTCTGGTCAAAAGGCCGGGAGAAAACAACAGGCGACACAGCAGGCAGGAGCATTGCATTCCTAAAAGTGGGAAGGGGCATTTGGACCAGATGCTGGTCCTTGCGTCCGTCCGGCTGTCAGAGTACGTACGGAGTACTTGTATGCTTGAAAGGTATCTACCTAGGTACCTGCTGTATATGTGTACGCACCAACTTGGTGGGTAGGTAGGCCCTACTTTGCACTAGGTACCTGATTCGTACCTACCTAAGTATCCGTATCCGTACTGCAGGTACGAATAGAGTGAGTGCCTCTGGACGCCACTACATGGAGGCATGAGAGAGCACGTACTAGGGGGTCTCAGGTACCTGACGAGGTACGGATATGGAGCCATATAATGTTATGGTCTCGGATCGATGGATCGTTATATGACCATGTTCACGTTGGTTCTCGGCTTTTGTCTTTTTGTAGCGAAGTATTTTGCCTCGTGCTCCCAATCCCCGGTGTAGGGCATTCAACACTACGTATTGAAGCTCCTACATATACCTAGAAGGCGCTGTATGTATGTATGTATGTATGTATGTATGATGTGTATACGTATGTATGCACAATGCATGTACAATGGTACCAGGCCGAAGTTAAATACCCCGGTTAGGTAACTAACGTCCACCCCCCTACTGCAGAACCTCACTTTTGGTGAATATTCCCCCTCTATCATGATGTCGGTTATGGGGGGTAATATCATAGGGGTACTTTACTTACCCCTGTCACCCTGTATGAATGCATGCATGCATGTATGGACCCCTAACAGCATGACACGTGACGCGAGCATGTGCTCTGCACCTGCCGTAGGTACCTTGCATTGCAAGTGCAGGCAGGTAAGGCACCTACCGTAGGTGGGTGATGGGGGAGGGGGTTCCTGCCTCCAGAGTGCCTGACACTGGCACTCGTCACGTCCGGCCCGGTCCCGCGTCGTTTTGGTGGTGTGCCGCTCTCTCCCCCGGGCCTTCCTCGTTGGTGACGAGAGGTTTGTGGCGTGCCGCGCGTGGTACCTACCTACCTAGCGTGGCCTCGACCAGCGAGCGCGACATGGATGCGATGCCCGGGAGGCTTAACATGGACTAGCGTCTCCCGATATGGGGTCGGAGTGCTAGAGACCCACCTGTTTTTTTACAGTATTTTCTTTCCCTGTGCGAGAATCTGCTTTTTTCTCTCTTGGGGCTTTTCCTTTTCCCTTCTTTCGTTCCTTGGCTGGTGGAGATGACTTCTCAAGGGGGTTTGAGGTTGAGGCAGGCTAATGACACGGCCGGCAGGCACTTGGGATCCTTCGTCTACCTATATCCGTACCTCGAGCGGACTGCCATCGGGTTTTTTGGTTTTTTTTTCCTTTGGTAGAGCTCTGCTGTCGCCACTGGTCTGATCTGAAGACGGTCCCAGGTTGAAGAGTCGGCAAACGTGGTGATCCCTGGATGCCACGGCTTCTCTCTCTCCCCGAGCACCCACCTGATGGAGTGATGTACACGTGTACCGAGATTAGGTGGGTAGGTACATGATGGGTGTTGGTACTATAGTACATGGTAGTGTAGTAATGTACTCCGTACCCTCTCGAGTCTCTCCTCATTACCGTTTAGTGAGCATGGTGGCAGGCATCTCCATCCAGAGATCCCTGTCGTAGACCCTGTATCTGTGGTGTCTCTACCGCAGTAGGGATACACCAATCGTAAGGGTCGGAGTCTCGACTGTTGTGTTTCTCGTCATTGTCTTGATGCGAAAGCTCTGCAGGCACTTTGTAGGTTCCGCCGATTCCTGGGGGGGATTGGATTGGATTGAGTTGAATTGAATTGGGTTGGGTTGCTTGCTTTCTTGCTCGCATGCATGCATGCATGCATGCTGGAAAAGGTTGCTTTACCTAAATGACATTCTTACTTGAATGTTGTACTAAAACCATGCCGGGAGCATTTGGCGCAGCACTGCTTCCGACCAAGCGATTCAATGTTGACGTAGGCGCCGTTTTGGTCTAATCTGCATTTGGCTTGGACCTCGGGGCCTTCGAGCTCCTTTTTTAGATACCTACCTATCTACCATACCTACCTACCCGGGTAGGTAGCTGAAGGAGTTACAGGTAGATGTACGGATAGCTTCCAAGTAGTTTACATTCCCCGGAAGTGGCTGAGAAGGAAGCTCATTACGTCCTTCTTTCTTGACCATCCTGTCCATTCCATGCCTCGTCGTCGTCTTCGTCGTGCTCGGCCTCCTCCGGCTGTTGCTGTTGCGTTTGCTGTCGCTATTGCTAGGTATTGCTGACCAAACAAAGAAACCCTTTGTGTCCTCTGCCCGCATATCGCGAGTCAACCCTGATCACCATCCCATCTCTACCACGACGATCATTGATTACATACCTAGGTAGTAAGAAGAACCACCACCAGCCAAATAGTTGTCCAACCCATCCTCTGCCATTCCGGAATCGGCCCCCCAGAAGAGACATACAGACAGACAGACAGACAGACAGACAGACAGACAGACACATTCACATTCACACGGAGAACGGGCGCATCCGTCACATCTCTCGCGCCACCCAATCACACCGAGCCATCGACGCGATCCTAATTTGCGGCACATCCACCCACGCCCCCGGTTCGCTGCCCACCACCCACAGGCACCTACCCACGGCTCCTCGACCCTGGAAGTGTGGACTGTGCAGCAGCAGTTTGTGTTGACAAGCAAGCAAGCAAGCAACAAATACGACCAATGGCTGGACCACACCCCCCCTGGCTATCATCCCCTATCTTCTCCTACGCCAGTGGCTAGTTTAACCATTCCAGCACAGTCCATCTGCTTGTTCCTACCTGCAAGGACAGGATACCGGCATACGGGCGCTGTGAGCCACACAACACACACACAGACACACACTCTCACACCCCGGAAGACCGACTTGTCCACGCTGCCGTGGGCCTCTCTCCCCTCCACACATACACTACCATACAACGCCACATCTCTCGCTTTCTCCCTCCCTCTCCCTCCCTCTCTCACACGACGCTCGCTCTGTGTGTCGTCCAGGTCTGCAGCAACAAAAACAGCTCAACGCCCCAGACTGCCCTTTCCCTGCCTGCGACGACTGTCTCCCACAAATCCAACGCCGCCTAAACAAAACCTGCGCATTGCACCGCACAGCACCGCACCGCACCGCAACAACCGGCAACCGAGCAGCGCAGCCGTTGGCGAGGCTTCTGTTTTTCTCTCTTGCGGTTGGTTGTTTGTTTGTTTGCCTGCCTGCCTGCCTGCCTGCCTTCATTTACCCTACGACACAACGTATGACGCTTGTGTCTCTAAACTTGCGCCGAGCTGCTGCGTTTGCTCCGCCGCCGCTGCTGCCGTCGTGAAGGGCAAGGTGAGTAGAAGAGAATAGTCAGCAAAAAGAGCCCCGTCTCTGGGGAAACGTCTACGACGTCCAAGTACACGAAGCATAATCCAACATTGCATGGGAATCGTTACTCCCGCTCCTGGACCCTCTACGCACGCAAATCCGCACCCACGTCGGATTCCGTCCCTCTTTTGAGACATTGGCTCCTCCGAGCTAGATACACTACAGTGGTTGCATAGACCCGACCATACGATACAGGGTTGCGGCCTGGGCTTTTGTTTGGTTGGTCTGCCAATTATCAACTTAGCCCCTATCCGCCCTGCCGTTTGCCTCGCGCGCCATTATCCTAATACAAGGCGGTGCCCCTTCCCTCCGCGAGCCCCATCCGAGGTGCCTCTCCGCTACTTACTTCTACCATGGCCAGCTCGCCGCCAGCCTCTCCTGGGAATCATCTGACCCAAAGACCGATGAGCGCAATGGTGCGACCCTCCCCACGAAGCAACAGCCGCATGAGCACGACGAGCAGGCAAGGTGGTGGAAGCAAAGCCTCTGATGAAGATATCCGAACCGCGGTCAAAGTCGGTAAGTTGAAGAACCCTCGCCGTCGTCCCTGTCCCCTCGCCCTCCCGCGACAACTCTTCTTGTCTACTCTCCTTGTCTTGCTCCCCCCCCCTCCGTCGTCGTTGGACAATGCACCGCTAACTGCCCATATTCTTTTCAACCAGCCGTGCGCGTCCGACCGCCCCTTAACCCGAACGATCCTGGCTATGATTTGATCCCTCAGCGGTTCCAGCGATCCATGGTCCAAGTCACGTCTGATACGAGCTTAGCCATCGACTCACCGCAAGGAAAGAAGCTTTTCGTATTTGACCGTGTCTTCGGTTCAGACGTCGACCAGGAGGGGGTATGGGATTACCTCAATGACTGCGTCACTGCCTTCATCCAGGGTTACAACGTCTCTCTACTGGCTTACGGCCAGTCGGGAGCCGGAAAGTCTTATACAATGGGCACATCCGGCCCCAGCGAGCAGGGTGACGTCGAAATGATGGGTAAGTTGCACCACGACTACATCGCTCCCTCTTGTTTTTCCTCCTGGTTTCTTTCAGAATCGGTGACCGAGCTCGGCTCTGGGTGGGCCCGTTGGCTGATGATTTAACCTCTAGGTGTTATCCCAAGAGCGGCGACGGCCTTGTTTGAAATGCTAGACGGGACGAAGAAACCAACGAACCGGGGCTCCATGTCGCATCTTAGAACGCCCGCCCGATATTCCTCGCATGCGTCTCAACCGTCGGCCGACAAGAACTGGTCGCTCAAGGCAACTTACCTCGAAATCTACAACGAGCAGCTGCGCGACCTCCTCGTCCCCGACCACGTGCCTCAAAACGAGCGCAGCGCCGTCACCATCCGCGAAGATGTCAAGGGTAACATTATCCTGACCGGCCTGCGACAGGTCGAGATCAACTCGGTGGATGATTTGATGAATGCACTGGAATTTGGCTCGACCCTCCGGCAAACAGATGCAACGGCAATCAATGCGAGGTCTTCCCGGTCCCATGCCGTCTTCAGCCTCAACTTGGTGCAGCGGAAGAGCGGACTTCATGGCTCAAACGGCGGCGACAAGCGTTTCTCGGTGCCTATCGAAGCTATGACGGGGTCCGAGACCTGGGTCACCACCGACAGCAAGCTCCACTTTGTCGACCTGGCGGGCAGTGAACGGCTCAAAAACACCGGCGCACAAGGCGAGCGTGCCAAGGAAGGCATTTCCATCAACGCCGGTCTCGCCGCGCTCGGCAAGGTCATCTCGCAACTGTCTTCACGACAGCCCGGATCCCACGTCTCGTACCGCGACTCCAGGCTGACCCGCCTGCTTCAGGACTCGCTTGGCGGAAACGCCATCACCTACATGATTGCCTGCGTGACGCCGGCCGAGTTCCATCTGAGCGAAACGTTGAACACTGTCCAATACGCCCAGAGAGCCCGGGCCATTCAGAGCAAACCGAGGATTCAGCAGGTGGAGGAGGGTGACAAACAGGCCATTATTGATCGTCTGAAGGCCGAGGTTGCTTTCCTGCGGGAACAAGTCCGCAGCGCGGAGCGAGGAGGAGGCGAGCGGCGCATGGCCTCTACCGGCGACCGGTCCGAGCGCCACTACGAACGCGAGCACGAACTGCAAAATCAGCTGTTGGACGCTCAGGAAAACTACACGACGCTCAGCCAACGCCACGCAAAGCTTATTGCCGAGATGGCCAGGGCCCGTGATAACGAGGCCGCCGAGAACGACCAGCACGAAGAGTCCATGGACGACACCGCAACTGAGCGACTGAACCGTTCCAATTCGTTTGCCGCAGCAGTCGAACAAGTCGTGCTCGAATACGAAAAGACGATCCAGACACTCGAACAATCTCTGTCCAGCACGCGCGGAACGTTGGCCAGTACTGAGGCAAGCCTTTTGGAGAAGGAGACCAAGTGCACCTACGTTGAAACCATCAACACCCAGCTGCAGGCGCGGTTGCAGAAGCTCATGGATCGTGAGGCGAGCACCGAAAATTACCTCCACGACCTGGAGAGCAAACTCGACGGCCACACTTCCGGGGAGGAGAAGAACGCGACCATTGTCATGGAGCTGCGCAAGGAGATCGCGCGGGTTAGAGAGAATGAGGCGTCCTGCGAAGACTACATCTCCACCCTGGAAGAGCGACTTGCCGAAGCGGACCAGGACGCCGAGCTGATGCAGCGCGAAATTGATCGATTGGAACAGGTCATCGAGCGCCAGCGCAGTCTCGGAAAGCTCGACTCTCTTCTCCACGAGTTGGATCACATTCAGGGAGACAGCAAGGTGCCCGAGCCCGTCACGGAGACCTCGAACGGCGTCGTACGAGCCAACGGCGACCATGCTCGAAACCAGTCACTGTCGCGGATCAGCCGGATGAGCCAAAACGATGTGATCCCCGAGAACGTGGAAGGAGAGGCCGCAGCCACAGCCGAGGCAGCCCACTCTGCGCGTGTCGACAAGCAAGGCGGCAACGACACCGATGCCGAGACGACCCTTGCGAGGGAGCGGAACCTTGTGCCCGACAAGTATGACTTTCCGCCACCGAGCCCTGCCCAGTCCAAGTTTGTCCAAGACAAACTGGAGAACGTCACGCAAGAGCTCATCGATCTGCGTGTCGAGCACGAGACCACCGTCAACGAGTACGACTTGTTGCACGCCAAGTACGAGGAGGCCCTACGCACCTTGGCGGATCTCCAGGATACCATTGACGAGTCCCGCCACCCCGAGCGCAAAGTGCGAGACTCAATGATGTCTGTCACTTCCCCGACCCGGACCAGGCCCCCTTCATTCTTCTCCGATGCCAGGTCTAGCGGCATGAAGGATGGTGGTCCGTTCTCGTCTCGCTCTCTTTCTTCCGAGCTGTCTTCCGCGCTGGACTCGCCCGCCATGATTGACCCATCCGATGCCGAGACGACGGGTACTGCCAAACCCTCGTCAACCGAAGATCTCCTTCATCAAGACCTGCTGGCCACGGAAGTGGAGAGATTCAGGATGCTCGCGGCTGAGAAGGAAGGCGCGGAGAAGGAGCTGGCCGAGAGATACATCCAGCTCGAACAGAAGCACCACGAGGCTCTCGACATGCTTGAGGAGCTCAAGACCGAGGTCGCACAGGCCAAAGCCTTGGATGTATCTTCCCCAAGGGCCAGCCAGCCTGTCATCCGCCGCAAGTCCAGCCAGAATGTTATGATCATTGACCGTGCTCATCGATCTTTCGCCTCGCTCCGTAACATCGCAGCAGAAAATTTCGAAGGGCAGCCTGATGTAATGCAGAACTTTGAGCTGAACTTGAACGCTGCCATGCATGAGTTGCATGCTCGGTCGGAGCGGATCCAAGAGCTTGAAGCCGACGTTGCGTCTACCAAGAAGGAGATGGAAACCAAGATGGCCCTCATTTCCGGTCTCACTCGCGAGAGGTCTAGTTTGAAGGCCTCGCCGATGGACATGTCAATGGTGTCCAATCTGAAGAACCAGCTTGAGGTGAACGAACAGCAGATGGCGGCGATGAGAGAATCCCACGAGGCAACCGAGAAGAAGCTCTCGGCCGAGCTCGAGAGCCTCCGCGCTACCCTCAACAGGACGCGCAAAGAAGACGTTACCACCGAGACTCTTGCCGCAAGTGCCGCGGCCGGTGCCGTTGCCGACGTACCGGCAGCAACTACTGAGGTGACGGAGACTTCGCAGGCGGCCGTAGACAACGACAAAAAGATCACGGAGCTTCAGACCGAACTGAGCACGTGGGAAGCAAAGCACCAGAACGCTCTCGACACCTTGCAGGAGACGGAGGCAAAGATGAAGATGACCATTGAGGAGCTTGAATCCGAAATCAGGTCGTTGAACGCCAAAGTGGCCGAGCAGTCTTCCGCACCCGATGCTGAGGGGATCAAGGACGTCGGGGCAAAGCACGAGACGCTTCTCAAGTCTCTCCGTGAAGAAATTGACGAATACAAGCTGGCCATCAGCACCAATGCCGGCAAGGTGTCCGACCTGGAGGCTGCACACGCCGCCACCAAAGCGGAGCTCGAGGAAGCCATCAGGGCTCGCGACCTGCACGAGACTCAAGCCAAGACGCAACACAGTCTGATCACCAACCTCGAGAACCAGATCGCGGCTCACGAGCAGGCTCTCAAGACCCACCAAGAGAGCATGAAGTTGCTGCAGGAGAACCATGCTCGAGAGGTGGAGGAGGTGAGGCAGGCCGAGCAGAAGGGATACGAGGAGCAGGTCGCTGTTCTCCTCAACGAGCACGCCGAGAACATCAGAGCCCTCGAGGGCGAGCTAAACGATGCCCGCGAAGACCTCATGAAGGTCGCTACCCAAGTAGCATACGCCCTTGGCAAGGATGTTAGCATCGAGAAGCTCACCCAGCGCATCGGCGTCCTAATTGCCGACCAAAAGGCGCTCGGCGAGACGCGGAAGAGGTATGGCGAGGTGGAGCAGCACGTTATTGAACTGTCGGCAATCAACGACAACCTTTTGAGGGAGCTGGAGCAAGCCAAGTCGACCCTGTCGGATATCCTTATTGCTGAAGGCGACGCTGTGGCGAGCCCCGTTCCTCTACCCGCCCAGTTGTCTGCCATCCGTAAGAAGATCACAGACCTGGAGAGCCGGAACAAGAAGAACTCTCGCCTGGTGGAGGAGCTCGAAGACCAACTTCAGAGCAACTTTGACGAGGTCCAGATGACCAACAACCGTCTCTCAACATTGCAGACGGAGCGCAACGTGCAGATCGAAGAAGCCCAGGCCGCCAAGTCCAGAGCCGAGAGCGAACTGGACTCGCTCAGAGCCGAATACGCAGCCCTTCAGGTCAGTCTTGCCGAGAACACGGGCCCGAGTGGAAGCCGGGACGCTAACAGGTCACAGGCCAGGATCGACGAGGCTTCGAACTTTGGTCAGGTTCAACATCCGGATTCCGCCAACTCGCCGCTTCGCAAGAGCGCTTCGGTGTCGTCGCTGCCGTCACCGCCGCCGGCCATTCCTTTGCCCCCTCTGCCGGGCGGCGGCAACAACGCCTCGGGCCCCAACGGCACTGTGCCGAACACACCCACCCAGGCCGGACGACCCGGTAGCAAGGATAACATGGGCTCAATCAACCACATCCAAGAAGACCAGGAGGCCCGTATCCGCACCATCGAGAAGCACCTCCAGGCCGAGAAGCAACTCACACAAACCCTGGAGGAGGCTCTCACGGATCTTGAGCGCCAATCCAACAAGGTCAAGGCCGATGGTGATGCTTGGCGCAAGCGCTGCACGGAGCTGGAGATGGAGATCAAGGAACTCAAGGACCGTCCTGCACCCACGCCGCAGCCCGACAACCGCTGGAGCTTGCACGCCGTCGAAGAGGAGCGCAAGAAGCGCCAGGCCGCCGAGGCGCAACAGCGTCTCCTGGAGGAGCGCATGAACGCCCTTTCCAAGAAGAAGAAGAAGGGCTCCCTCAACTGTTTCTAGTCGAGGCCTTGTTGCCGGGGCCTCACGTCTCGCAAGGCCCGCGTCCGATTGGGCTCGTTCGCCGCGTGAGATTTGCATCTTGCGTATTCTTCCAAGCATCACGAGGCGATGAGGTTTATTATGCCTCTTTTACCTACTACCCTTTTTTTTTTACGTCTTTTTTCTTTTTCTTTGTCTCTTCTCAACTTTGACCAACCCAACCCAACGAACCCCCAACCCCCTTTTCGCGAAACTGTATTTCTTGCACTTGCGACATGTTTATGCTGCCGAAAAAATGATTCCCCTTACGCATGGCGAAACCCAAAAATCCGGGCAGGAGTTTCTTACACTGGGCGGCTCGCGCGTGCGTCGTTCTACTGGCAGGGCTTGACGTTGAACCATTTGTTTTTCTTCCCCTCAATACCACTATGCGACTTTTGCTCATGCGCCATGCACCAGTCTCCCCTTTACTTCTTTTTTGTTTTCCATCCTAATTATTTCTCATATATGAAGACTTGTTTCTTATGAATAAGCAAGGCTGGCGGCGTGCTTTGACGAATGGCACGTGGGAAGGGATGCCGCGTGGAAGTACATCAAGCGCGTTCGTCGGGGTGCAGCTCTGGGCGGATGACATGGAACGACGAGACGCCATCTACCTTTGTTAATGCTAGTTATATGCCCCCATCGGATGCGGCCGATTGAATAAAAAAGGACATTTTGGGTGTTCAATTCCTCTTGGCGTATGTGATGTGATGTGGTGCCATGTCCCCGGGCGTGGGGGTTCTTGTTTCGTGAGGCGTGGTTAACGGTTGATACACGAGGCAACCGTCAGTCCCCTCCCCCGAAATATCCCTTCCTCCTCCTCCTTTAGGACTTCAAAGAGCGATTCACTGCCCGCCGCTGGCCTCTTCGGAAGGAAGGACCTCGGGAAACCAGCCGTAGATTTCAAAGTCAACGTGAAACTCGCCCATGGCGGTCCGCGAGACCTCGACGTCCTCGGCCTCGAGAGCGGCGGCCTGGCTGCGAGCGCCGGAGGGTTGAGAGCTGCGAGGGGGGACACGGCTTTAGTCCCGGGACGGCGCACACGAGGGGTGGGGTGTGTGTGTGTGTTTGTATAGCGACCGAGGGCGGTGTTGGCTAATGGGAAAACAGTGTCCAGAAGGAAGGTAAAAAGAAAGAAAAGAAATGAGCGTGACGTACCGCGGCGAGATTGTGCCCTTGGCGTTAATGACGCGCTGCCACGGGACGGTCTCGTTGTTGAACCGCGACGCCGGGTCGGAGGGGAGGTGTTTGAGGCAGATGCCTACCTGGCGGGGGCGTTCGGCTGGGAAAGAAGATGAAAAGAGAGATATTCAGCATTACGTCGGCCGTTCATCTTCCAAGGGGGTGGAGAATGGGGGGGGGGACAAAGGCTGTTGAGTGAGATGGGGGAGGTGAAGTTGAGGGAAGAAGAGAAGGGGCGGCGGGAGTGGGAGCATTGACTTACGGGTTCCGATGAGCCTCGCGATGTGGCCGTAGGTCGTCACCCTGCCGAAGGGGATCTCTTGGACGGCGGCGTAGACGGCGTGGAAGAAGGCCTCGGCCTCGTCGGTGCGCGGCATCTTCGGTCCGGAGGTGTGTGGGGCGGGGGGAGGATGCGGCTTCGAGGGCCGGAAGGGGACGAGAACGGGTGTTGGTGATGTTGATGATGATGAAGATGTGTTGATGATGTAAGCAAAGGCCATGAATATTCAAAGGGCGTGGACATGTATGTTTGCGACGTGGTTTTGATTGGTCAGCGACCCCCTCCCTCGGTCGGATCTACCTTTACTTACAGAGAGGTATACGGATATTGGGAATAATAATAGGTAGTGACGTTGGAAGAGACGAATCGTACCTATACGTCTTTGGAAACCGGTTTACTGACTGGCCTCAGGCGTGATAGTAAAGCTCAAGTGTCGGTATCGTACAGTGACATGTAATAAGTCTGGGCTTGCCTATTCAAGGTGACACAATTGTGTGGTGAACCTAGACTCATTACATGTCACTATATAATGCTCATGTGTACGCCCAACAGCACGCGTGTACCTCGACGAACCTTTCCACATTGCACTTTTTTTCCTTCCATGAAGGATACACCCCCGTTGCACCGCCTTGGGTGTCTATCTTTTCTGCCTGTTATGATACACTATCGTTGGTGACGACAAGAGAGGGGGAACCTAGAGCAGGATACCAAGTGCTTCCCCCCCCCCCCCCCCCCCCCAGAGATTTGCGGGTCGACTCACGGCATTCTTGTCCGGTAGTGCCGGGCCGTGAGAGCCGGACTCAGTGTTGCGGCAATGGGGTGGGGGGAGGTTTCGTGTAGGTGAGATGCTGCGGAACCTCGACCTCGGCTAAGAAACAACAGCCTTCCGAGATTGCATCACGGCCAAAGGACTTGGGGCCGACGCCCCCGCGTCCTCGACTTCGTCCCGGGCCCACCGCCTACACTCCTGAGTCGTGCGGGGGCGGGGAGAGAAGCAGTTCCGAGTCTGTGCATTAGAGGGAGGGAAGGGGGACGTCTCGCCTTCAACCATACTCTGACACGATAACCCGTGTTGTTTTCTTACAGTTTTTTTTTTGTAGCGTTGTGTACCTGTGTATCCCAGTCTTCACTCTTGGGCCGTCAGCCGTTACCTTGACGACTATCCCCCGCCAGTTAACCCCGCCGCGCGCCTTTTCCAGCGTTTTTTTTTTTTTTTTTTTTTGTGATTCCCTCTCTCCAACATGGAAGCCTACGTCAAGACTCGGGAGACCCGGCCCCAGCTGATCCAGAGCCTCCTGGCCGCCCTCCCGCCTCTGGACCCCTCGCTCGAGGAGTTCCGCGACGTCGCGACCCTCCCCGACGGCTACGGGATCGACCTCCAGATCGTCCGGCCGCGCGGCGTCGACGAGACCAACGGCGGAGGCCGGCCCCTGATCCTGCTGTGGTCCGGCGGCGGGTTCATCGTCGCCGGCGTCGAGCCCGTGACGCGGCCGGCCCGCGAGTTCGCGCTCGAGTTCGGCGCCGTCGTCGTCAACGCCACCTACCGCCTGGCGCCCGAAAACAAGTTCCCGCGGTCCGTCAAGGACGGGTACGAGACGGCCGTCTGGCTCTCCAAGAACGCCGCGCGGTTCGGCGCCGACGTCGCCAAGGGCTTCGTGCTCGGCGGCTACTCGGCGGGCGCCAACATCGCCGCCGTCGTCGGCCAGCGGTCCGGCGTCGAGGGCCTCGGCGTCACCGGCACCATGCTGGGCATCCCGCTCCTGATGGACAAGGAGATCGTCCCCGACAAGTACGCGGCCGAGTGGGTGTCGCGGGAGGAGAACGCCACGTGGAGCCCGGCCTTCACCAGCGCCCTCGTCGACGACGTCATCAAGCGCGGCCTCGAGCCGGACGTCAGGTCGCCGTGGTACTCTCCCGTCAACGACCCCGCGGCGCTGCCCAAGTGCCCCAGGGCCTACATCCAGGTCGGGGACCGGGACCCGCTGAGGGACGACGGGCTGGTCTACGCAAAGATGCTGCGGGACAACGGCGTCGAGGCGAGGGTGGACAGGTGGCCGAACTGGGGCCACCAGGGCTGGTCTATTTACGCACCCGCCGACTCGCCTGCGAGCTTGGGCCCGGACACAATCAACGGGATGAGGTGGCTTCTGGGCAAGGAGTAGCAGGGTCGAGAAAGCGGTCAAATAGAAGCTCGTGAATTTTACACACCGATCCGCGTCTAGGGTGTTTTATTGATGTTGTTGCTTTAATTCGACCTGTGCGAGTGTTTTTGCTTGTGAAGGTCTCAACAACCTTTGTACTGAACCTTCAGTTCCACGTCTTGTCACATTCATTATATGAGACTGGGTGTGGCTGCTGGAATGGAGACCAGATTGAACGGGTGGATGGATTACTTGACGCTGTTGGGTCTTGGATGATGGAAACAACTAGCAATAAACCTTGACCTATTGCTTCTCACTCGGAACCAGCTTGACATGAGAAATGAGACAGACACACCATCCGCCCTTCTCTCTCTCTTCACGCGACAGACCATTCACAGCGGAGGGAAGGGGCACCGGAATTCGCTGCTTCAGATGTGTGACTCGAATTGGGTATCGTAGCTGTGTTCGTCCAACTCCACGCTAAGCGTAACTGATGTCCTGTTACCACGTTCAAAGACAATCAAGAGCAACTCGGCCAAGTAGTAAAAGGAGATGGCATTAAGTTTGTTTAGGATCCCCTCCTTCCCCCAAGTGACCGTGACCTTGACATGTCTCTCTGTCCTCGTCCCTCGCCCTCCCCACTGCCCGTCGATTTCTTTTCCTGCAACACACACAAAAAAAAACTCTTTGATGGCATCATCCTCTTACGGCATGGTCAACCAGACGCCGCCCATGAAGAACAGAGCAACGGCGCAGCAGAAAATGATGTTGGTCCCAACGTCGAGGGGCTGAGGGACGGGGATGTTGGAGAACTGGAGGACGGTGCGGATGGTGAAGTTGTTGGCGGCCTCCCGGATGGCGAGGGCGGTCAGGTTGCCGCAGGCCTCGTTGAGGGAGCGGTCCATGATGACGGAGGGCAGCTTGGCGATGGCGGTATCGAGGACCTCGGCGTTGAACTGGTTGCCGTTGGGCGAGGCGGCGAAGAAGGTGGAGCGGTAGGTGCTGTTGACGCCGACGGTGGAAAGGTTGGCGATGCGCGAGTACTCGCCGCACGACATGATGGTAGACTGGGCCGGCGTGGCCTGGCGGACGACGACGGCCATGCCGGGAACCTCGACGGCCTTGGCGAAGGCGGCGTTGGCGAAGACGGAGACGGCCAAAAGGACCCGAGCGAAACCCAAGGCGTGCATCTTGTCTTTATATATATATATCTTTAGATAAATAGATATATCGTTCCGTATCTTGTCGCGAAATGTACGACTCGAGCGTGTATGTGTCGAGGGCCGATCGATGAGGGTTTTGTCGTCGTTGGCGATGATGGTAGAATATCGGGATGTATACAAACACACACAACACGCACAAACGACTTGGGATAACTAACGAGAGGACTGCGACAAAACGACCCTACTGGATAAACGACACCCAAAAGTCAAAAAGTGGCCGGCCACTGAGAAGTGAAAAGAATGTACGCAGAAAAAGTAAAGAGATTGGGAAATCAAAAAGTTTGCGTCAAGAAAACGAGGTAAAAGTGGCAGCAGACAATGAAAATAGAGGGAACGAGAAACCTTACGTGGTTATATGCGGTATGGCAAGGGGGGGTGGAGGGGGGGTACCTACGCCTCTCGTGGGTTGGTACCAGGGGTTGGAGAGCCTGAGACGAGATGACACATTTGGGACTTCAGATCGGACGGGGCGGGTTCGTCTTTGGGAGAAAGCCGCGCTGGGGCTGTCTGATCCCAAAGAGACGCACGCAACTTTATCTCTCTTTTTTGAAGAGCCGCGAATTGTGTCCTGTTTTTGGTTTTAACTAAAGACATGAACTGAGTTGAGGGCAAATCTTGGTCGGGTATATATATATACATATAGATACTCCCTCCGTATATATATATATATAGATCTCACGCCGCAACCACACCACTACAGGTACAGAAGACCAGCGGCAAATGCTGCAAATGGGCTGCAAGGTTGACAAGCTCTTGGAGATGGCCCAATGATGGCTTTGATTGCCTCACCCTTTTTTCCTTCTTTCTATTCGGGCACGGACCTATCAACGGGCGAACAACCCAATAATACCCCCAGCCAGAGTGGTCCGGCTGTGGCCCCCTCCTGTTTGATCCTCGTCAGTCAATGTTTTTGGTCGACGCTAGCATAACCGGTCCACGGAATCGAGCCAGTCACAAGGCTTGTTCCGGCCTGGAAGAGCCGGGCAGCAGGCGCCCTTCCTTGGCCATCCTTCTTTTGTGCTTCTGTCACCTGAGAGGAAAGCAAGCAGCTCGGGCCGGGGTGACTAGGGCCACAGCTAAACCCAATCGTGGGCGCTCCCTCCGCGCGTATCTCTCGAGGAACGGTGGGTAGTTTGTGGTGTGGTGGTGGTGTGTTATTTTACCGCCGGCGTTATTCCTGTAGAGGACAAAAGGCGCGCAGGGGGGTTGGTTGATGGTGGTGTGCCGTCAAAGTCACATTATCGTTAATCACCCGCAAATCATATGCGCGCTGCCCGATGTGATGATGATGTCCACGTCGGATACCGACATGTGTCCATCTGGAATTGCCGTCGTCCCGGTGCCCCAGCGTCGGTTTCTTGACCGGGGCCTTTTTTGTTCCAATGTCCATGTTCACGCCCAAACGCCCTGCCAAAGAAAGCACCATGCCAGCCAGATGCGAAATAAAATCCCGTAGAGCCCTCCTCATCTCCCCTTCCCTTACGCAGCCCTCATCGCTGCGTCCACTGCCCTGGCCGCCGCCGTCGACCCTTTGCCTGGCGGCTTCTGCAACTTCCCGCCGAGGTTCCCCAGGCTCAGCGGCTTGGGCTCCACGGGCGCGATGCCGCACTTGATGCTGATGCTCGTGAAGAAGCCTCCCACCGGCCGCAGCTCCTCCTGGAACACGGCCAAGTTCGCAAACTCGGTGCACCGTGACCCGCGGAACAGCTTCGCCTCGCACCCGTCCGCCTTGTTGCCAGCGAATATCCCGCACTGCGCCGTCTCGGTCAGGTCGTAGCACTGCCCGTCCTTGCTCGTGAACGCGGGCTCCTTCGACGCGTCCGCCGGAAGCACCATCTTGACGAACGCCGATCCGCGGCACGTCTTGACGCCCGGGGAGCTCTCGAACAGCTGGACCGTGATGGGGATCGGCGGTTTGTCTTGCTGCTGCTGTTGCTGCTGCGGCAGCGGCGGCGACGCTGTCGTCGTCGTCGTCGTCGTCGTCGTCGTCGGGTTGGGCCCCGTGATCTCGACCTGCTCGGCCGTCGCAATCGGGGACTGGAGCGATAGTCCCGGAGGATTCGGTGGCGGATCGTCGCGGTCTACGACCTTTGGAATCGCGCGGACGGTGGAAGCGAGCCACGCCGCCGCCACGAGGGAGGCTCGCAGTATGGAATCTGACGACAGTCGCATGCTTTTCTTTTCTTTTCTTTTCGTCTCCTTTCCTTTCTTTTGGCCGCCATCAAGGACAAAAGTAGTAGTAGCCTTTGATGATAAGTTTGCAGACCAGAGACTGGAAACAGTTTTCTGGACGAAATCGGCGCGCCGACGCTCGAGCTTTTGTCCGAAGAGGACCGACCGATCAACAGCGTTGCGACAATGTCACCGTGGATGCCAAGCTGCATCACCCATGTTTCAGATCGACTCCTTATTGACTCGATGCACGGATTTACAGCTTCTAAAGCACAGGAGAAAGAAAACGGGCTTTCATAACGATCAAAACAACTCAATTGAATGGGGGGGGGATGCTTGCACTTGGTGGTTCAATAATAAGATTTAACAAGTCATGTTTGCCATCTGCTCAGCCCTATATCTCTCTAGAGCGAAACATGCAAACAAGAAGAGCATCGTCATCACTCTGGTATCAGTATCTATGTAAGGATGTCGAAGAACAAATCCGCTGCGCCCACGTCCTCGCCCCATGTATGGTGACAAACAGCCAAGTGTTCCTTTGTCTTTCTTATTTTTTTTTAAAAATCTTTTTTTTAATAGTCTTCCCCGCCCCTTCATCCTTTAACCACTCTTCAAAACCGAGTTCGCCGGCGACTCCCGGCCCTCACTCTTGCTCTCAGCGTTCAGAATGGCACTCTCCACGGCCGCGGCAACGTCGATGTGGAAGAACGGCCTGTTCATGCCCTGGACGGAGGCAAGCTTGCCGTCCCCGCGGCCCGCCACCTGCGCGGCACCGTCGTTGCCTCCTCCGCCGCCTTTGGTCGGGGCGATGGCGTCCTCCTCGTCGCCGCGGCTGCGCTGGGCGGCCATCTGCGGCGGCGCGTGGTCGGAGCCCGAGTCGACGGGCGCGAAGCTGTAGATGGGCTTCCACCGGCCAAAGTTGCCCTCGTCCTTGACCGAGGGGAAGCCGAAGCCGGCGGCCGCGAGCGCCCGGCGGGTCCAGCGGTTGTTGACGTTGGCAAAGTGCCACTCGACGACCTCGGGCTCGGCGTAGTGGTCCAGCTGGTTGCGCACGTCGATGAGGCCCTGGACGGACGTCACGTCAATGTTATTGACGGCGGAGCAGTCGAGGATCACGGCCCGGACGATGGGGCGCTGGTCGTCCATGTCGATCTTGGCTCCGCGGCGTGGGCCGGGGTCGTTCCAAGGGCGGTCCTGTAGGACCGACGTCAATATCTAGGGAATTTTGGGGAGGAGGGTTAATGGTAAGAAGGCAATGCGACTTACGCCAAGCTTCTCGTAACGGTCAAGGATCGTGCGGCGGGCGTTCTTCTGGATGTACTCGACCAAGCGGTCCATGTAGTGTGCCTGGTTAGTGTAGTTGAAGCCCTCGCCGAACCGGTAGACGAACACGCCGGGATAGGGGGTCTCCACGTCGATGTGGGGGTTCGAGCCGTCATCCTTCGCGAGAGGGATGTAGGCCTCACGAGACGGGACGTCGACCGACTCGCCCTTTTCGTTGAACGGAACACCCTTGCCGGCGGTATCCTTGGTGGCGCGGTAAACTCTGACGCGGCCGAGGAAGTGGCCCTTGGCCTTTGCAAGACGCACCAGCAGGAGCGCGGCGGAGGCGCACATTGTGAGGTAGATGCCGTTCTCGATGTTGGTGAAGATGGTGAGGAAAACACCGGCAAAGAAGATGAAGACCTCGAGGGGAGAGACCTCCCAGAACTGGTACACCACCCTGGGCGGCGTGATGAGATCACCCACGGCGTGGATAATCAGAGCGGCTAGGGAGGCCATCGGAATGTAGAAGAAAACCGCCGTCAGGGCGTACAGGGCCAGAAGGACGATGACGGCGGTGAAGATACCGGCGAGCGGCGTGCGGACTCCGGCCTTGGCCTTGATGGCGGTTCGGGAGAACGAGCCGGTGGCGGGGTACGCGCCGAGGAAGGGCCCGAACAGGTTCGTGAAGCCGACGGCAACCAGCTCCTGCGAAGGGTTGATGACATAGTTGTTGATTCTGCCAAAGGACTTGGAGATGGCAATATGCTCAATGATGAGGACAATGATGGTCACCGGCAGGTCGGGGGCGATGGCCGAGAGGAGCCCAGTATCGATTTTGGGCGCCCCGGTGTGCCGGAAACCGCTGGGTACAATGCCGAGGATCTTGAATCTGGCCTTCTTGGCACTCCAGTTGACGTGACGGTTGACGAGCCAGCTGACCAAGACGTAGAGGAGTATGACAAAGGCCATGCGGAGGGTCGACATGAAGAACCAGAACTTCTTCCTATGGGGCTGGCGGTTCGACATGAAGTTGCAGAAGGAACGGATGGCGTACAGCAGGAACAGGGCGGTCAGACCCATGGCCGCGTCGAGCCGGGCGGTCGGCAATGCCTTGAGGCTGTCGATGATCACCTGGTAGGTGGGGTTGCGGGTGACAACGCCTTGTAGGCCGAGGAGGGCGGGCACCTGGCCGGCGGCAATGCTGATGGCGGCGCCGGTCATGAAGGAGGTGATGGCCACGAGCGGGATGAACTCAACGACCCAGCCGAGCCGCACTAGGCCGATGAACAGCAGGACGGCGCCGGCGATGACGGCCAACGCCTGGGAGATCTGCGGGCCGCTGTACTGCGGGTGGGTGTCCTGCACGCGCAAAATGATGTTGCCGACGAGCTGGGACATGACGGCCACGGTTCCGATGGTGATGTCCTTGGATGTCGCGAACGCCCAGTACAAGATGAAACCGACAAACGACGTGTAAAGACCGTACTCGGGGGGCAGCTTGGCCAGGATTGCATAAGCCATGCCCTGAGGAATGACCACGAAACCAACCGTTACACCTTCATACGACCTGTCAGACACGATTCTCCTCGGCTTGTGGAGCAGAATGCATATAAAAGGACAACGCTGTTGAGGGGGGAGAACTGCGCATGCCTCATAATGTTCTGTCCGATGAAGGTAAGAGACTTACCGGCAATCACATCGCCAAGGAGCCATGTCGCGTTATAGTGAAAGATCCAGGACCAGAAGGGGAACAGGCTTTTGATGTAGGCGACCGCGCCGTGGACTGTCGGTCTGTGTGCGTAGAGAAACTCGGCGACGGTGGGCTCCTCCTCCTCGTACTGCTCGACGGAGCGGAAGGAAGCGGCGGCGGACTGGACGGCCTCGGTAGGCTCGTTGCGGTACCGGGCGTCGACGTCGATGCCGAGGCCCTTGGCCAGGCTTCGTCCGACGGTGCTCGGCATGGCGGGATGGGGTGCGTCTTTAGAGGGATGTTCCTTCAAGAGATCGATCCCGGATGCCGCGGCGGCACTGGGCTTTGACGTCCGGACGACAACTGAGAGGAAGGGATGACGGAGGAATGGAAGACCGCGCAGGAGGGGGGAGGCGTGCGTGTCTATTAAAAGAAGATGCTGCCTGGGGGCCAGGAGTCTACCGACTTAATCGACGGAAGACAAGGTCAGGTAGGGGAACCTTATATGCGGCAACAAGACGTGAGTGGTGATGATGCTATCCCCTCTTGGGAGTAAAGCTTGGCCGCGTCGCCAAGGAGCATGGCTTCGGATCGTCCAGGTCTCGCCAAGGGCTCAGTTGGAGCCCTTTTGGTAACGTACTCCCGCATGCCGCCCGGGGGGGGGGGGAGGGTGTGAACTCGAGTGAAAGCCATTTTTCTGACGACATTATCAATATCGATTGCGTTGCGTTGGGTCAACACCCTTCAACACCCCTTCGCCTGGTTTTCATTGGTCTTTACTTGATCATGTAGAGAAATTAGCCTCACGTCCGGCCGGCGCCTTCATTCTGGGGATCGATCCAGCTCATCGGGATGGTCCACGTTCTGGCGTAGCATCTCTCATTCTCGGTAGATTCGGCCATCCCGAGGGGGGACACGGATTCTACGCTATCCTTACATTTTTGCACCTTGGGACGAGCTAACTAGGGTCTTCTGTCGGCTGGAACAGTATGAGTATTGGCGCAGGTATGTGGAATGCTGCGAATGTTCGGGAGCACCACTTCCTCTTCCACTCTCTGGACAGGACTGCCTTGGTTGCCACATGCTAATCAGATTAAGGGCCACTCATTGACTCCTTAGCCCGGCGGCTGCGAGTGCTGACGCTGAACGAGCGTGGGGGCGCGGGAGAGGTCAGAAAAGCATTTCCGCCGTCCGATTCAGCGTGCGCCGGGCTGACCCTGATTCGGCATGTGCCATGTGTAGCTAGCTACCACAGCACGGCTATGTAATATGCACAGGATACACAGACTTTTGGGGGAGGGGGGCACCTGATGGACTAGGCTGTTTCTCGCTGTCTCTCTCCCACTCCCTCTTTCTCTCTGGCTTTGCCTCTCCAACCTTGGTGAGGTCAAGATCAACTCTCATGACCAGTTTGTGGCGCTTTCAGCTTCTCCCACCGTCGGTCCAGGATAGATGTGCCAGCAAAACGGCGGCTGGCACTGGGGCTGATCGGTAGATGGCCAGACTAATCGCCGTCCAGACCGAGGAGGACGTTCCGATTCTGCGGGATGTCTGGGACCTTGGGAAGGTCGGATATCGTGTGAGTAGGTAGCTAGCACGCGGCCGAGAAATGAGAAACGATCAACCAAAGATTACTTCTCCGCGGCGCGTGGCGCGACTAGGTAGCCTCCTCAATTCCGCAGGACCGCCAACTACGTCCGTACAGCAGACACACACAATGGCTCTTCTTGTACGCCATCTCTCTGCCCTTTTCCAGTACATTGGGGCGGAGACCCTTTCATTAAGCTTAAATGCCAGGCGGTTCGTTGGTCACTGCTATCATGTTCATCCGCGATGCCGTATGACCCATCTGTCCTGCCGAAGACCCGAGATGGAACAAATTGACAATGTCACTCACTGGCGTGCTGCTGACTGTTACCACCACCGTTCCCCTCCTCCACGCTCCCCGATCTGTTGTGAAGCCCCAGCAGGCGGGGGAGGGGTGGGCAAAATAGCCCCCTCCCAAATATCCCAAAGAAGGCTGGTCCCTGTTCTGTCTATTCCTTTTGGGGCCTGGATGATGTGAGGAGACGACAGGCATGGAGGCATGTAATGTTGGGGAGAGGGAAAAAAAAAAGGTAAGGAAAACAAAGACTGGGGCTGGAGATGCATATGGGACGATGGTGTTGAGCACGCAATACTTGGCGCAAATGAGTCCAGCGTTAAACAATCCTCCCGATTCCAAGGGATCGCACATCCGCGCCAAACACACAACAGTAAGAGACTCTCAACCCCCATTCTTCTCTCCCTACATGCACTTACGCGCCCGCGCCCAGAAGCCTTGACGTTCTCTGCGCCAAAGCCTGAAGGCTTAGTCTGCGAGCTTGTCGTTGCTTGTTCGGTCTGGACATCGCGGGAAGGCGCCCAGCCAGCGCTAAAGATGAAATTTCTTCACGGCCACGATCAGCTCAAATGGTCGCTCTTGGTATGCTTGGTCTCCCCACAAGTGGCAAGTTGTCACATGATTTGACAGGGGAACTTTGGGGCTATTACGAGAATCTATCTAGGCATCAAGTACGTGGCGTGGGGTGTAATGTCGCTCATCTGTTCCAGCTGAACGGGACGGGAGATGCTTCGGTTAGACATGCATATTGACCGGCGAGAGTGCTTTAGAGTGACGCCGGGTAGAACACGGCCTGCTCAACTATGTCCAGTCTATCGGCATCATGCGTAGTTAGGATGTGGTGTGTGCGCATGGGTCCCCCGGTACGGAACTGCGTTGGATCGAGGATATGGCCGGCGTAGTTGAAGCACTTCACTCGCGCTGCCTAGGTGTACGGCTAAGAATCACCAATCGCCACACAGCTGGGAGCATCGTTCGTGGCAGAAGCGGCCTAGAGCGCAATGGATCGCCGGACTCCTCATTGCGATCCAGGTATTACTCAAAGGACGCTGCGATTATTAGGCCAAGCTGAAAGAAATGTCGCCATACACTTAATTATTGAACCTTCGGCTGGCTCTGTCCCGGAGATGCGATATCTCTCACGCATCGCCCTTGCATGTGTCGCCTTGATCGGGACCTTTAGCCGACCAGACTAGCAGCCCAGGACAGGGAGGGGCGAATCATGGATATCAAGAGGAAAGTGCAGATATGATTTCTTCAAATGTCTGGACAGCCGCAGGCATGCACGCTTCCACGGGCAGCTAACCTACACACTCATGCCGTTTCTCCGTCCACATCCAACAGATGTCACGGAAAGAGGCGTTTACTGCTGAGATGTCACTATGAGTCAAATTTCCTTGAAGGGGTTATCAACGACGACCGGGGGGGGGGGGGCACGCAATCTCAGCTGTCGCCACGGAAGCTTTGAGTGTTGACGATACTATGACATGTTAGAGCGACAGAATCGCCGCAGCACCAGGGCCCTCCTGTTCCTCCCCAATTCCAAAGGGAATACTAGCCGTTCGTCAGGATGTGCACCAGGATATCCCCACATGGACAAGATAGAGGCAGAAGAGGCTGGCGCGCTACCGCTCGGTGCCGAGACTGGGCTCTGCTTCTGGCTGCAGATATAAGCACTAGAAGGCCAACACCCCTTGGTGGGAAATCCCATGGCTCTGGTCCTGCCGACTGCATCCTGCACAGGCAAGATGAGCAAAGTAACCGCTCGTTTGGTTGCACAGTTCTAGAAAGCGGCGCCTTAGTACTCGCGGGGGGAGGGAGTTGACTGTTTGTGTTGCTTAGGGACGCTACGAGGCCGCCTTGGTGGCTTCGCGAGCACGCCATCGCCAGTGGGCGAATAAAGATGAGGCCCTCTTGTTTCAGCGCCAAGTAGCCCAGAAAAGGGTCGGATACGCCTTAATGACGGTCCACAAGGGCGGAATCTCCGTACACGTATGTGGCCAGATTGCAAATCCGTGAACAGCATATTTCGGAACCAGCATGTGGAGGCTAGTTGGATGAGACTCTGGACGTCGCCTGAATCTGCCGTCCTTAGCCGGTCGGTCCAGGTCCGAGTCTGTTCGCCGTTCCGGTGGCCGAGGAATCTCGGCCGGCCACTGAGCAACTGTTGCCCTCGCTTCCCCACCCCTCCTCGCTTTTCGAAGAACCCCCTCCTTGGTCAGTTGGTACAAGCTCTATTGAGTGTCGACGATGTTGACTATCTGTGCTACGCCACGTTTTTACGAGGTCGAATCTTACGACGGATCATAGACCGCATCCAGTAGGGTCATCACTTCTTACTGCTTGATGCTCCCGTGCCCAATGTCGAAGATCTTGGCAGCCATGCCGTGATTCTTTCGTGCCCATCCGGCTTCCCCAACAAGTTACAAGCCTATTGAAAAGCCCTTCGGGCCTATTCAAGCGCAGTGTCGAACCAATGCGTGCTTATATGCATTTTGATCGCGGCCTTTTACGATTACACAGAAAAAGAAGAGGAGCCCGAAGGAATCGATGTCGATTGGAAGTGGCTTACATCCCAGAGCAACTTCATTAACTCCCTCTTCAGCACCGATGACGTTCCAAGTCGCATCCTATTGCCGAGGGCGTGGCAAGAAAATAAGCCCTCTCTGTCAAGTTTGGAGTTGCAGGGTAATCCCTTCACATTTAACCTTGCCGGTTACCAAAAGATTTCAGGTCTATACTACGCAATACATTGGGTTGTGGCGTTGTAGGATGTGCAAGGTTGTTTATAAGCAAATAGCCGAAGCTAATAACGACCCCCAAAGCTACAAGGAGCTTCTCCAAAATTGATACGGCGTTTAGCTTTCTTGGTGAGCGGATCAATTACACTACGATTAAAGCTATGTCAGAGCTAACTACCGTTCCAAGTAGGCGACTCTGTGTTTTTAGTTTGCATTACCCACTTATAAAACTGCCTTGGATAGACTCGATACTACGCCCATGGCTGTTGTCCGTACTCAGGATACTGATTTGCGAGCCCTGGGGCCTGAAGGAGCTTTCAGCCCACTGCACAGAGACTGCGCAGTTGACTGCTTTCTGCCAAGCCCAGCGCCTCTGGACCTGCCTGATCTTGTGGCTTCACCTTCCAACGCCGTGGCTATGTTTTAGTTTCTGAATTTTTGTCATTGACGTGGGCTTGAAGTTTAGGCTTAGCCTAGGCCAGAAACCGCCCCCATCTCTCAGCAGGACGACAACGGCATGATAAAACGCAGTCTATTACAAGGGCCGGCGGTTTCAAGACGTCTGGGAAAGTTCGGACAACATGTCAGCAATGCCTTTGTCGGTGTTGCCGGTTGGTGGGTTCCGCAAGATTCAATACTCGGACGTGGTGCTGTAGCTAGCCATGATCACGATAGCTATTTGCTACACCATCAATGGGGACCATTATGAAAAAGTTTGCAATCAGCTTAAGTCTGGGTTGAATTAATCGTTGAGATATACGTCTACGGCGCATCCTTTGAACAATAATATTGCCATGGACCCAGCCATCTTTCACATTATTGTTACCGCCTCATTCCATTAGCACATTCTCGAACGAGATATACGACGACCGGCACCGGGAAGGGCGTGTATTACCGTTCTCGCGAACGACAAGGTGGCAACCGTCAAGCGCACCCCAAGAACCAAACGATGCCATCTTGGGAGGAAACAAGAAGACAAGATACCCAAAAGTCAAAACTGAATGGGTGTTTCTAACCCGAAACGGCCGGCTTTGCGAACACTTGTTTGCTTCCGCCCCCGTCATTCAAGTTTCTGCCACAGCTGCATGCTTGACGGTGCTATGACAGCGGTCCAAGCGGACCTTCAGTCATGCAACGGGAGAATAACATGACCGATTCCAGCGTACGACCTTTGCTGGAGGGGCATCGAGGATGTAACGGAAATCAATGCACCTAGGAGGGCAAGCAATGCTTTCACTCTCCCTGATAAAGCTTGTCGGTAAGTTTGGGTCCGTAATAAGCGACGGTTGTTTCCCGTACTCCATGATATCCAATGATCGCCCTATTTGAGCGTGCAGGACGTTTTCGGCAGAGCTCGAAGGAAAGCTTGCTGCGACTTGGGGCCAATTTAGCTTTGGCCTTCTGTCACGTGGTCGCCTGAAAAGCCGTTTAATACATGTAGGGAAAGTGAGTAAAAAACGTTTCGCAAAGTCGATGATGTCTTGGTATCTTTCATCAATCAATACGAGATAACAGAGTCACGATGTGGGAAGAGCTGTGGTCGATTCACGGCCTTCTGGCTGTCTTCCGTTGGTTTCTCATGCCAGGAACCCATCTCCCATCACTTCAACATGCAGCCTCTGAAGCTGTGCATGCCGCCTCCAACTGGGTCTCCAGCTCCGCCATTTCCGACTTGACGAACTCGGCTTCAGTCGTTGCGGAGGAAGATTTTGATGCCTTGCGATACGTTGATCCTCTTATCGGCTCAGACAATGGGGGCAACGTGTTCGCCGGCGCAACATTGCCTTACGGAATGGCCAAAGCCTCTCCCGATACCAACAGCGCCTCCAACCAAGGCGGTTTTACTTTGGATGGGAGTCCGGTCACCGGCTTCTCAACGATGCACGACTCCGGTACTGGCTCGCAACCTTCGCTAGGCAATTTCCCGTTGTTTGCATATACGACTTGTCCTAGCGGAGAGGTCAACGAGTGTGCTTTTCCGAAAAAGTCGAGGGCAGAATACGGACATTTTGACAAGAAAGATGTAATCGCGGAACCGGGGTTGTTCAACATCACATTGAAAACTGGCATCAGAGTCGAAATGACAACGACGGAGCGGGCGTCCCTCATCAGGTTCAACTTTCCACAAGCAGGGAAGCCTCTCATCCTGCAAGATCTAACTGACCTGGGCGATACACGACAAGACAACGCCTCGATCAGGGTCAACAGAAGGACGGGACAGATCAGGGGAAATGCCCGCTTCCAGCCTAGTTTTGGAAGCGGCAGCTACGTCTTGTACTTTTGTACGGACTTCCGCGGCGCCGACATGCTTGACAGCGGAATCTTCGTAGACAGCCGTGCCAGCACCGAGGTCAACAACTTGACCATCTCCAGATCAATCAATGGGTATCCGTTACCAGGAGGTGCTTTTGTGCGCTTCAAGTCTGCGGATAAGCCCATCATCGCACGCGTCGCCACCAGTTTCATCAGTGAAAGGCGGGCCTGCTCTCATGCTCAGAACGAGATTCCCGACTTCAACTTCGATCGAGTTTCGGTGGAGGCCAAAGCTATTTGGCGCAGAAAGCTTAGCCCCATCAAAATCAACACCGCGAGAGTTGACGAATCATTTGCACGAAACTTCTATAGTGGCATCTACAGGACTATGATCAACCCGCAGAATTATACGGGAGAGAATCCTTTGTGGAGGAGCAGGGAACCGTACTGGGATTCATTTTACTGCCTGTGGGATTCTTTCCGGTCGCAGATTCCATTCCTGATCATCATTGATCCAACGTCAGTCGCCCAGATGGTCAGATCACTTATCGACACATATTCCCACCTGGGGTGGCTGCCGGATTGCCGAATGAGTTTGTGCAAAGGCTTCACTCAAGGCGGCTCAAATGCAGACAACGTACTGGCAGATGCCTATTTGAAGAACATCACCGAGGGTATTGATTGGAATCTGGGCTACGAAGCTGTTCTAAAAGATGCGGAGCAGGAGCCGTTTGACTGGAGTGTCAATGGCCGCGGAGGTGTGGACAGTTGGAAGAGGCTTGGATACATACCTATTCAGGATTTCGACTTCAAGGGTTTCGGAACACTCACGCGAAGTGTTTCCCGAACGCTGGAATACAGCTACAACGACTTTTGCATCGCGCAGATGGCCAACAAAATGGGACGAGGGTCCGACCGAGAGAAGTATCTTAAGTCGAGCGGCAACTGGCAAAACCTGTACAAAAAAGACCAGAAATCTGCATTTTTCAACGGGACAGACACCGGATTCAGGGGTTTTTTCGAACCCAAATACCTCAACCAGACCTGGGCGTACCAGGACCCGTTGAGCTGCAGCAATCTGGACGGGCAGGCTGTTTGTTCTTTGCAGAACAATGGGCCTGAAACTTTTGAGAGCAGTCTTTGGGAATATGGGTTGTGAGTATTCCACTCTTAGAAGGTCTTCTGTTGGCTAATCTGTGCAGCTTCGTTCCTCACGATCAGGGAACGTTAATTGATACCTACGGTGGTCCAGATGCGTTTGTTCGCAGACTCGATTTTTTGCATGATCAGAACATTACTTACATCGGCAATGAACCGGCGTTCCTCACAGTCTTCCAGTATCATTACGCCGGCCGCCCGGCTCTTTCGGCGAAGAGAGCCCATTCCTACATCCCGTCATTCTTCTCCGCTGACCCTGCGGGCTTGCCGGGAAACGATGACAGCGGTGCCATGGGTTCCTTCTTGGCATTCTCCATGATGGGCCTGTTCCCTAATCCTGGACAAGATGTATACTTGATCATTCCGCCGTTCTTCGAAAGCATTGAGATTACTCATCCGCAAACGGGACTCACGGCCCGCGTCCGCAATGTTAACTTTGACCCGACATACCGAAATATATATATACAGAGCGCAACCTTGAATGGCGAACCCTATAGGAAGAGCTGGGTCGATCATAAGTTCTTTACCGAAGGCCAAGAACTAGTGCTAACTCTGGGGCGGCGGGAGAGTAAATGGGGTACAAGAGTCCGGGATCTGCCCCCGAGTCTTGGAGCGTACCGGGGTTTCAACAGGACGTTTCCTTCGAATCGCACGAGAATCGTAGATGCGACATATAAGGGTGAGTTTGGGGAACTAGGAAAGGACTGGGGGGTGTAGATATCGCGTGAAACTGTTACGATAGGAGACGCGGTGGAAAATCGCGGAAAATGTGTGTCTTTCGTGGTTTAGATAGGCTTTTCATAAGCAGAGGCAGGCAGTGGCAGCGATCGAGATAAATTATGGAACCCAATAATAACACTGATCTTGTGTCTTTTGCACTTCTCAATGCTTAAGTACGTATCCGCACTAGGGATCTCTACATCCCTCATTTACTGAACGCGCCCACTGTCGAGGCCTTCCTTATGCCACAGTCCTGGACGTCAAAGACAAGAAATTACCAGTCTGAGTCGACTTTATCCCCAGTTGATTGCCTTGTGCTCGAATATATCGCTTCTCTTCGTGGGGATGTCATCGAAGAGGGATGCCTTGATTATAGCTTGGCCTGGGAACGGCTTTGCTGTAGTCTTAACAGGGCTTTCATTATCCCATCAGCCATTGAATAATAGTGTGCATAACCACAGGTGGTCTTACCTTCCACATTTCCGACAGAAAAAGCGCTATTCAATGTCAGTTTGTGCTCTGATCAGAAGTTCCCGAGGATGGCTAGTATTCACATGGACGGTGTTCCCAGAATCAGTTTTAAGGTCCAGATATTCTGTCATCGTTTTTTGATTATCCTCAATTTCCCATTGGCCGTCGTCAATAAAAAAGTTCATGGAAAAGGCTACTTGATGTCAGCGCAGCAAACAGGTGACGAAAATGGTTTCCAAATATGTACTTACGACCGCCGGCACGCTTGCAGTTTGCGCTGGTAGGTGGGTAACTTAGCGAAACTCTGGACTTGTTGGGAAAAGCTCGTACCAGTGGCAGACGACAACATTCTCCGGCTTTTTGCTGAGAGTAACCTTAATTGAGCCGCAATTGCAGTGCCCTTGGTAGGGAGCCATGATAGGGTTTCAGTGACAGATATTAGACTCCGGGACAAAAGTTCGTGAAGCAAGCTTGCATTAAGATTAAAAAGGAAGACGATGGAGAAGAGAAATGAGCTGGGTTTTGTTCTTCCTGACGATAATTGGGGTCTTTCTCTTAAATGATGACATAATGAGGTCTCACCTGGGTGGATTGTATTGATACACTGGATGAATAAAGTATGATGAAAAGCGATTACCCAGTGATTTCAGGAAATCCGAACTCTAAATTCTGGAGGGGAGGGTTTTCATCCATAGCTCTGAGAGGGATATTTGGGGAGACGGAGGCGGTCACAACCCTCGGCGGAGTCAGAGAACAGAAGCACAGCAACTCTCTCGCTCTTTTGTGTTCTTCTTAGACATGATCCTCTACTGGGCCCAATCTTAAGCTGACAAATCACGAGACAAAAGGCCTGTGATGTCTGAGTCAAGAGTTTCTTTTTCTTCTTCTTTTTGCTTCGCCATATGCCAATGAACGGACCGTACTCAAGTCCAATCGCTCCATCTAGAACCTTTCCAATACACAGCGCCGTCATGTTCGAATTGCGGCCCCTCAGCCTCAATAATGTGTCCGAGTTCGCAGTGACCAAACTGCACACGTTTCTGCTGAACATAGAAGTCGTCAAAACGAGGTGCAAGGGCATCGTGCAGACTGCCAACGTTGCCGGAAGGATGCAGGGCGTGCCACGGCTGCGAGCATGTGGTACCCTTGCAGGACTTGAGGACAAACAGAAGCGAGTCGAGTCTGGGGACAATCTTGTCTAGAGGATAGCCGAGGATGGTCACTTCAGCAGCTAGGGCAGCCTCGTCTTCGTGCAACAGGTTATGCAGCTGGCCAGGGTCATTCTGGGTTGATAACTTATTAATAGAACTTTGCTTCTTTGATGCGTGCAGCTGAACTTACAGTCATGTCGTAAAGCTCATGCTCATTTGTGCACCATATCGAGTAGTAGAGGTTGTAGCCATTGCCAATCACACGCAAGGCCTTGTAAGTATTGTTGAAGATGCGTTTGGTGTCGCCGCCATCGAAGCCGAACTTGCTCTCAGTGATGGCCCAGCCCCAGTATTCCACGTTGACATGTTCACGGGTAAGCGGAGACTCATTAAGCGATTTAGCAGAGAGAGGAATCGGAGCCCCATCGAAGTCAGCTCTCAACGGGGCACCCACAAGGGATAGGATGGTGGGGACGAGATCGACGTGAGCCGTGACAGCCTCGGTGATACCACCTTTGGGGACTCCCGGACCGCGAACGATGAGAGGAATGTTAATGTCCTCCTCGTACCCACACTCCTTTCCGGGCTGCAGCCGATGCTGGCCAATATGATAGCCATTATCGGTCGTGAAGAATATGTAAGTGTTATCCAAGATGCCGTGCTTCCCAAGCTTTTTGATGACTCCATCCACCAGTTCATCAACAGCCTGCAGAGCCTGCAGCCGGCCTTGGTAATGTCTGTCGTTGTACTCAATGTTTTCATTCGTTAACTGAGGCTGGCGACGGATCCAGTCGGCGCCCGATGGCTTGTCGGGATTGAAGTTCTCCGTCCTCGGAACCTTGGCGTCCTTGAACAGGTGCTCATGTCTCTTTGCTGCCAACGGAATACTGACTCTGAACTTACCGTCGGATACGGGGACGCTGTCATCGGGACCCTTGACGGGGTTCAGGACGCTGGAGTTGACGTTGCTGTGGGGAGCAATAGGTGCAATGGCCAAGAAGAAAGGTTTATCCTCCTGGACAGCATCGTCCAAGAAACCATAGGCCTTTTTCGCGACCAAGTCCGTAGAGTACTCGCCAGGATGGTTGACTGGCTGATCATGATTACGCTGGAATGCAGCATTATAATAATCATACGTGTTGGGATCAAGAAGGAAATCCTGCAATAAGTAAGGAAAGAGTTCTGGACCATTGTACACAAAAATGTCTTGGGTTCCTTACAGACGAGGTCCAGCCTTTCAGATGAGGGCTGTCGTAGTTCCAGATTGTGTGAGCGTTGAACATCTTGCCCGTGTAGAACGTATTGTAGCCAGCGTCTTGCAACCATACAGGCAGATAATTCTCGTTATGGCCATTTTTAACGAAGATGGGGAACCCGCCTACGATATTCGGTGAGCTGAATGAATCGAATATACACTATTTTCTAGGTCTAGCTAGCACTTACCATAAGGTGGGTTGAGATCTGTGACATTTGTATTGTGGGCGAGTTTACCAGTCCACAGACTTGCGCGGGACGGACAGCACACTGCTGTCGTGCAGAAATGCTTCGTGTAGAGCGTCCCTTCCTCAATCAATTGCTTGTGGATGAGGGGAACATACTCCAAAGAGTTCATATGAAGATCTTGGTCGTCTGTCAAGATGAACACAATGTTCGGCCGGGAGGACAGAGATACACCATCACGGTCAGGGTCGACCAGGGGTGTTTGAGCATCCCCAGCGGCCGAAATGGTGGCTGGCGAAAGCAGACCCGCCCAGGCCAGTATCAATGATTTCAGATTCATCTTGGGGATTCCCGATTGACAGGCGCTTCTACTCAATCGACATGAAGCTAGAGGAAGCTGCCCTTCTTTTTAACGCCGAGAGCTCAAAGCTAGACCCCGCCTTCCCCCGGTGCTTTCAGATGATGTTACCCCCGGCGACTTCGGATGACGTGATCCAGTTACCGTATCGCGGCATCCGAAGTACCCACACCTTTATCAACAGCGAAGGAACCATAGAGGCCCATAAGCATTAATGCGTAGCCAAACCGTAGAATAATATAGACTATTTTTCTTCATACAAGCTGTCTAGAACTCTGCAAACTGTAGTACCCAATGATGACGAAGGGGATCCCACATATTAAGGGCCAAAACAGAGAAAAGAGCAACACCAAGATTCGTATGGTGTGCGCTGGCTAATAAGGTAATACCTCGAAACAGATCAGGGCTATCGAGATTTAAAGATGTAAGGTTTGTGAAAAATTGAGGATTACGCAAACCAGATGAGGATGTCGTGATGTTATTTTTAGCGGAGCTTTCTTTCTTAAACAGTACGTGGAGAAACCAAGAAGGGGACTGGACCGAGTTTGGTGTCAATATTACGCTCAAAAGAAACAATGATGTGAACATATTGTTTAGGTAATTCATTTTTACAACAGCAGTATAACAATCAAATGAGCTCTAGGGTCCTTTTATAAAAATAAGCGGCCTAACTTTGGAATCTTTATCCTGGTCCTACACTATCAACCTATGGTTATTAAATTGATTCCCATAAAGTTATCGGGTTATTGAACTGTCTAGAATCCAGCACTAGAACACCGTATATACTCGCTTCTCTCCGTCCCGTTAAGTTTATCGCCCACCAATTTACGCCGTCTCCTCCTAACCGTCATTTCTTATGGGAATTTTAACCGGCTCCCAGCAGATTGATTTATTCCCGAATTCGGCAGAGAAGTACTGCCATCCTTTGGCTTCTGCGCTCTACATCGCAAGAATATTAAAGCCGATCACCGCAGTGAACCATGGCCATCCTGATGCGTGTGAATTTGAATGTTGATCTAAGCTCCAGTGGCAGATATAGAGCTGGTATGGTTTGCAAATGGAAGTCATGTATATGCCGTTATGGATGGAGCTCGAGATGATTCGAACGCGCGAGGATTTAATAGAATCAGCGATTCACTTGCTATGTCAGCCAGTTTACATCTTACGCAAAGGGAGACAAACTCCCACAGAATAACTTCATGAGGTTGAACTGACACTTACCTCATGTCCAGCATGCACTGCATTCGAGGAGCCTCGCACACGTCGGAGCTTCTTTTTCAGCTATGACCTCGCGCTTTCAGCTGGCGTGAGGCAGTAATCCCCCCCACGACTCCAGCAATGATCCCGCCAACGATCAGCACTCCCATGGCTAAAACAAATATCCAGTATCGCCGTATCCATGACCTTCGGTGTTGCGCATCCACTGGACCGGTTGATATGGGGATCGTCAGATAGGTGGCAGAGGATCGTTTGTCTTCGTGATTCGAATTCGACCTCGACTCTGGGGGCGGTATTCCTCGTTCTTTGCCGTGTTGTGGACTCGAGTAGGTTGCAGCCTGCTGCTCTACCAACTCGACAGGTGCCATCTGAATGTCAAATTCGACTCGTGAGGTTGATGAGATGAAGGTAGCGATTCGAAAAAGCCTGATTGATGGTAACAAGCGCTAATCCTCGAAAAATAACAATTAGGGTTGGTTACTACTTCAATAGAAAGTGGGAGATTTCTGAAGGACAGGGAGGACTGCACGTGGTTTCCGCATGGATCTCACGTGGTACCAAGTATGGGCGTACCGCATATTTCAGCAAGTATGGCTCCCCGATAACCCCTCAAATGGACACAACGCCAATGCGTCTCATCAGGCCAGCATGTCTCAGCTAGAACGGAGGTTTTCCGTGTTTGGCGAGGTGGTTAAGAACATAAGGAAAGTGTCTCGTACACTGGCTAGTGGCCAAATAGTCTAGCCAATGTCAATGGCAATGGTGCCTGAGGGCGCACACTTGACATACGGGCGCTATTGTTGGAAAGGCTAGCCAGCTGATAAAGTCTCATGCTGGCGTCAGGGCTTCCACCAGTTACTGTAGCCAACCTCAGCCAAAGAAAAAGCAAACCATCGCGGCTTACAGATAATTGTAGTCAAAAGTACTTTTTTCTACTGTAAACCTGCGAAGGGAATACCTTTAACGTTACAAGAAAACACTAGCGGGACACCAGAAACTGTCCTCCATAATCATGTTCACCTATAGCCGGCGTTGGACAAACCCGTTTACAACTCGAACAAGTCTCATTCTGTCTGTGGCGTGACGGTGGTTACGCCTTGTGGGCACAATGCAGGCACATGAGAATTATGATCAGTTGTGTCTCAGCCATATTCCACTAGCACAGACTACTCGCATGGCACTCGGACTGTCTTTGGTCGCAAAAGCAAGTATGAGGCACATAATCGTACCACTTTTACAACCTGGTAGCTCGGTTATCCCTCTTTACCAAGTGGCCGAGAAATACAAGTCCCGAAACCACTTCCGTATGTGGGTGCCTAGAGTACCCGAAAATGCAAAGGCTCTGTACTGGATATGCCGTTTGTATAGATGATCTGAGCTCTAACCGCCCTGAGAAGACACAAGATCAATACTCAAGCCTTTTGGTGAATGGCCTCTGTCGAATTTAAGCATAACATTTTTTAACCAAAACGGCTGTGAACGACGTTGAACTGTAAAGGTCATTGTTGCTAACTCCAGCGGCGGGTCGGTTGCTCGGTGCAACTACAGAAGGCTTGGTTGTCCTTTGTGCCGCTGTCTCGCGTAATACGAATATCGTCTGGCTGTGTTTTTACCAATCAAGTATATCGACAATGAGTGAGAGTAGTGTGCCAGCCAGTTACTTCCGAAACCCGTATTCCCACAACAGAGGCGTGTCGATCGTCCACAAGCATCCACGGTATTTCCTTGAAAAGAAGGGCAAAGCAGCTATGTGGCATTGCGACTTGTTCCCCAAATGTCAACTTTTCCGGGCCATCCTGGTCTCAACAGACTCTACTTGTTCGGAAGAGGTACTTCTAGTGAGATAGGCTAGGTTGCCACTCTTCTGACTGAGGAGTCTTGGCGGGCGGATCTATGGTCCACCCGGCGGATAAGCGTGTATGCCATACATTTACCTGCTTTCGTTTTCAAGTTGTCGCGCGACTATCTCACCCACGACCTATCTGCAGAGCAGCTATACGCCGACAACCCAGCAACGCAGACCTACATAGTACATTGCCGGGTTAGACGCCGTCCCATCGCATCGTCGCCGTCGGCCCGACGAGAATTGCCTGATGCGGGACCACCACGAACAGTTTGGAAAATGTCGTAGGCTGGACCGTTGGTCACGCAATCGCCGCCAGCAGGGGTTTATCTGGACCAAGACCCGACGCAACCCCGTCCCGGTATTATCCTCCATAGAATACCCTTCCCCCGCCACCCGGTTCTTCACCCCGGCGGACCGCAGCGGTCTCTGCCGCCGCCCATGATTGGCAGCCGGAGCCATCAGCCTGCAAGAACTGCAGCTTCTACTTGGCGCTTGGTGGGTTTTGCCCAGACTTTGGCGTCCTTGGATTATGGGACGTTGTGCGCGGGATGCCAGCTCAAATCAAATCTTTTGCAATCACGACATCGAAAAACCACCTCATGCAGGTAGCAACTTTCCCGATAACCCGAGTCGCATCGCTGGCCGCCTTTTGCTGCTGCGACCCGGCTAGTCGTTTATATAACCTTAGCCGCCCGTTACTTAGTTTCCTACCTTAATTCCGGTGACTGGGGTTCCTTTCTTGCTGACCGGATCGTCCTGTTGTTTGAGCTCCGCAAAAAAAGTCGTTCGACTGTTTTTTTGTTTCTGTTTTTGACAGCGAAGTGCAGCAATGGGTGAGGCCGCATCGGTGTCGTCTTCGACACCGCAACAGGCGGTCCGAACGGAGCCCGTCAACTACGGGCCTCCTGAAGAGGGCATCTTCAAATACATCTCCAAGATCATTCCGTACTTTCGCGACCCTCGCAATGTTCTTGTTTTCAAGCTGGACGTTATGCTGCTGGCGTGGATGTTCCTGGCCGGCATCATGAAGGAAATGGACCAGTCCGCCACAACACAGGCCTACGTCTCAGGAATGAGGGAGTCGCTCAGTCTCTATGGCAACGAGCTGGTCGAGTTCAACACCTTCTTCTCGATAGGATACGCCCTTGGCCTGGTCCCCGGTCAGTTGATCCAGACAAGGTTTCGGCCGTCGATATTCCTTCCTATCTGTGAGATGAGTTGGGGACTGTTGGTTTTATTGTGAGTGTTTCGCCTGCTCTGCCTTCTCACCGAAAGATTCACGGCTAACGAATCCCCCCCCCCCCATAGCACATACAAAGCGCCGAATGCTCAAACAATCTTCGGCCTGCGGTTCTTCCTCGGTCTCTTCTCCTCTGCCTTCTGGCCCAGTGTCGTCGCCCTCATATTCAACTGGTACACACCCGCCGAGCTCGCCGTCCGCGTCGCCTGCTTCACCGTTTGTGATGTTGCCGGCGCCATGTTCCTGGGTGCCCTGCAAGCCGCCCTCTTCCGCGACATGAACGGCGTTCATGGGTATCAAGGGTGGCAATGGCTCTTCATCTTAGCGGGCAGCATCACCATCGGCCAGGGCCTGATCGCGTTCGTTACCGTCCCCGACTCCCCGTCCAACACCCGCGCCATCTATCTCACCGAGAACGAGAAGCGTCTCGCTCGCGAACGTATGGCCGATTTCGGCGTCAACACCTCCAAACGCATCCCGGCATCTGTTCTCCGGACGAAGCTTCGCAAGCTCATTGTGCACCCCGTCACCTACTTCTTCCTCTTCTCCTTCGCTTTCAGCGCCTGGGCTCATCGTGCCAACTCGTACTTCGTACTCTACCTTGAGAGCATTAAAGACTCGGCGGGCAACCGTGTATACGACACGTACCACGTCAACATCTTGCCGTTGGGCGGCTATGCTCTGCAGATCCTCACCAACGTAGGCCTCAACTGGCTCTCCGACTGGAAGCGCTGGCGTTGGCAAATCAGCATCTTTTCCGCCGCCGCCCACGGCATCTGCTTGGCCGTTCTGTGCGGCTGGCCCTCCGACCACAAGGTGATCCTTGCCTTCTACTTCCTCACATATGCAACCAACGCCGGCAGCCCCTCGCTCATGGCGTGGATGGCCGAGATACTCCGTAAGGAGCCCGAAGCCCGATCCATCATTGTTGCGATGACTGTGACGACTGTTTACGTCGGCCACGCCACGATTCCTCTCGGCGCTTTCCGCGTTGCCGACGCTCCCAGATACCCCATCGGCTTTCCTCTCACGGTTTCTTTCACTGTCGCAACCATTCTGGTGCAGCTTGGTATGTTGTGGTGGCATAGACGCCACCCTGAAGTGGCTGAGTACGGATATGAGCCAGCCGCCAACTGCACGGGGACGTCGGATGAGGAGAACCCCAAGCTTGCCGACACCGAGACCGTAACCAGTGGACTTGACTCCAAGACGGCCCAAGTTGCGGGAGCAAGGGAGCTGTAGGTACAGTTGGGAATTATATTGCAAGATGAGGGGTGTTAAAGAATCATTACCAGTCAGCACAAGCTTTGTAGCCTATTTATGAAGAAAACACCAATTATTGTCAAGTTTCTACAAAGTCTGCTTGATTCAAAGGCCTTTAGATATTGTCCTCCACATCCCCATGAAACAAATAGCCAGATCACCAATATTCTCACACCAGTACAAACGCGACAGCTGTCTCCTCGCTGGTTCAATTATAAATACTCTTGTCCCATATTGTCCCATTACTGGGGCTCCAGCCATTGCCCCCTTCATATTGGACAGCTCCCGTTTTTCGGCATCGATGGGCTTTACTGTTCTGCGTTTGGCAGTCTGCATTGAATATGTCAGCACTTGACTAAACATGTGGTACCATAGCTACGAGGAGAGACTCGGTACCACGGCAGAAGTCTCGATGCACATCAAGAGCCATCGTCTACCGGGTTTGTATGGTGCCATTCAGATCTCAATATAATGCCACCAAAGGCAATGAATATGCAGATGAATATGAATATGGCCCATATTGGCGCTACTTCATCGGACTCATCGTGCTCCTCTCTTGGGAGAGTAAACGAGCCACTGGCTTCCACTCCTGCGGCGACAAGCCTGTATCCCCTTGTGGCTCCTTCAGTGTCGACGAGGTATAGATCCAGAGGGTACGCGGCGGAAGACCCTGCGGGCGAGCTCTGTGCGTGGCGCGCACGACGTTCCTCTACCGCGTGTTTCTTTTGCTTGTGCACCACGAGCGAGGCCCTATTCTGCCCCGTGAACGAGGGATTTGAGAAGAGCACATTTCCGCCCTCCTCGCTGCCGCCCTCGTCGTGGCAGCCCGCTCTATCGCAACCCAGGGTCGACGTGCATGAGTCGTCATCAAAGTCGGAAGAGTCTGACATGACGTGCTGGCTGGCGGGAAAATGGGAGTTCTCAACAAAAATGTGAATGAATATACACACGGCCACGAGGTATAGGGAGCGGTAGTTGAATACATAGACTAGAGTTTGACGTTTGAGAGTCGGGCATTCGGTGTTTTATGGGGACAAAGGTGCCTCGTCACACGGGATCAACGGTTGCACAAGACGGCAGTGAACCAACCATAGCAGAGCGTTTGGGTTTCAGTCAATGCAGATATGCGTGTTGTGGCGTTCTCGGCCAATTCGTCTTTCTCTCAACGTCGGTCCTTCGTTTCCATGCGGGTTGCGAGCCATCCGCATGGTGGCGGCCGCACTCCCCTCAGATATCGTCGGACGATCAACAGGGCATGTCGTCTCCCATTTGAAATATCTGGAGGACGCGCTTTTGAATGACTGCAAGACACATGGTTTTGAAACCCATAATACAATCTTGTCGTGTAGGCACGTACTCGAGGAGCTGTCCACGCCCAACAGTAGTTACCAGAAGCTGACTTGTCAATAATATCAGTCCGTCATATGGCATATGACATGAACGGTTAATGTCAGTTGTATCTGTCTTTAGAGGAGGGGTTCTTTGTGTGCGTTGGCTACGGATGTTGCAAGCCGCATGGCCCAAGGCGCTGGAGAGGACGTAGGCCAGATCATGGAGCTCGAAGAAGACCCGTCCCTTGGGAATCCCTTCCACGTCTTCCAGCAAGGCGCTGTCCTCGCAGGGTCGCCAGAGGCGAGTGACCACCGTCTTGGCCATGACCTTCCAAAAGTCACCTGTCTGGATGGCTCGTTCTAGGGCCTGACTTCGGGTTTGGGTTCTGACCAAGTTATTGCTGGCCAAGTTTCTGTCTCCCACCCTTGCCACCGTCGTGCTGGTCTAGGTGCTTATTCCCCACGGAGTTCATACGAGACTCTCGCACTTATCACTGGTTTTCTTTCTCATCAGACACGTTCATTTAGGCTCCAGCAAGCCTCCGCTAGTAGCTCTTCCTGAAATCACAATGTTGGCCTCCCGGTTGAGGTCCAAGCCCTTTAAAGTACGCCACTTCAGCATATTGGATTTATTCGCTAATCAAGATAGTTTGCCCGCTTCCTTGATGGGCAAAGCAATACCCCTCAAAGCCCAGCCCTCGCCGCTTCAGAGCGCACAATGTTCGGGATCTCGTCCTCGAGACTTCTCTCCCGCGGCTCCCAGCCGAGCACCTTGCGGGCCCGCACCGCCTTGCCGCGCGAGTTCATCCCCCAGCTCGCCGCCTCGAACCCGGCGGGCGACTTGACAGCCTCGTCGAACGACAGCTCGCGGACCTCGGGGCCAGCGGCGGCGTCGGTCCCAAGCAGGCCCTGCGCCTGGGCCTCCCGGCCGACGGCCTCGGATAGCTCGCCCCAAACGTGCTCCCCATTCTCGGTGAAGTAGTAGCCGCGGGCGCCCCAGAGCTCGCCGGCGTCGTCGCCCTTTCGGGCCGGATCGAGCGCGGCCTCGACGAGGAGCGCGAAGACGGCGCTGAGGTCGTGCACGTGCACGTTGTTCCACCGGGCGAGGCCCCGGCCGATGCGGGGGCAGTACTTCTGCTCCAGGACGAAGTGCGCGAGCTCGTAGACCTGCCGCCCGCGGCCGGAGACGGGCCCGCGACCCTCGCCGTAGATGGTCGGAGGACAGACGACGGCCGTCTTGACCGAGACGGCGTGCTCCCTACCAGTGTTGAGGACGATCTCGTCCACGTTGCGGTGGAAGGCGGCGTCCGGCAGGTTGACGAGCTCATCGACGCCCTCGTAGTCGTCAAAGACCTTGTCGTCCGGCTCCCCGAACACCTTCTTCACCTCGGAGTCGAAGTAGGTCAGGATGCCAGTGCCGCCCGTGTGCAGCCAGAAACCCGGCCGGGAAGCCGAATGACCTTGCACTAGGCCCTTGGAGATGGCTGTCGCAGCACCGGCGTGATCCGAGGAATCGGCGGTATCTTGGAAGGCGGGTGTGAGCACATGCGAAGCGATTGTTAAGCTAGGAGAGGTAGGAAACGCCACTCACGTATGACAATGTCGGCCCACGACGCTTCGCGCTCGAGAGTCTCGGAGTCGTCGAGCCCCCCGAGAACAATGCGGACTGTGGGGTACTTTTCGACAACCTTCTTCGCCTTGTCTTCCGAGCGCACAAGGAGCGCATATTCGAACTCGGGATGCTTCTTGTACAGGTGGTAGAGTGCATCGCCCCCAATGTAGCCAGTGGCCCCTGTGAGGAATATTTTGACAGTCATTACGATTAAATGCGCTGGCGGGGGGAGATGGCTGCAAAAGTTGTAAGTTGGTTCGATAAGTCCCCCAAGCGTGCTGCATCTTTCGATTATGTTTGGTTTTGCACTTTGAAGAGGGGCAAAAAGATGTATGACGTAAGGTGACGATGCGAAATGGCGCCGACCCAACCGGATGAATATTTTGGCCCCATTGAGAGATCCAATACATCAGTATGGCGTCGGCCGTTATCGTTTCCACGGAACTCATGTCTGGTCATACTATTCATTGGATGGATCTCCTTTTGATGACAGTATTCAAGTTGAACACAGCCGGGAATTTGGAGTCTGAATATAAGAGCATCAGTCGTGTTTTCTTTTCATAGCCGTTTGTTGAATCCGTTCTGCCTGTATCCCCAGAGCTGGATTAGAACCAGAAGAGATTCCCATATCAATCCTCTATCATGATCTACTGATACTGTGCACACTCCATAGGCGGTAAAATGCATTTACATTTCGGTAACAAAACGTGAAGAGTGACCCGTAACTGTGGATCGTTTACTGGCTTCGTGATTGAGCTTACCGCGATCCCAGACCCATCAATCGAAGCGAATGATAAGAACATCCTCATCCAACGCCAGGTAATGAGGTTTTCAATAATACAATTCTTGATAACCGAATTGAGACGGCGCATTCTCATAGCAGCCCCGAGTTTATGGCCCGTGGGACTGCTTTCTCGATGACCACTTATGCACGCCTCGCACGTCCGCGTGGCCGCCCCCTTTGCCAGCCAAGTCCCTAATCTCACTCATCTCCTGCGAGGTGAAAAGAGCAAAGGTGATTGGAGTTCGCCGTTCGACGTGTTGAGGTCTACCATTCTCTGTTGCCTGTGACGCAGACGACGCAGTACAGTGATAGGCAAGTCCTACGTTAAAGTAGGACATCTTGATAGTGCTGGGATTTCCGAGCGCATGCACATGGGACACTCTGGCAGCCGATCAGCAGAAAGCCCAAGATTTGACTTTAGCTGAGGGGCAATGAATTCTCTGTGGCCAACGTGCTTCTCATTAATCCCGTACTTGGCTTTGTATGGGAGCTGATGCGCAGCGGACCTCAGTGACGGACGAGACGTTATTGCATCCGGGGGATATGGAGGGGGTCGGGCGGCGCTGACACCGCCGAACGGGTCCGCCGGCAACAATGACACGAAACAAGTCGGAGGGAGCCTGCAGACTGGGGCTGCTGGATACACATTTGCCAATTTCTCGGTCCGCTTTGTAAGAAGAAAGACCGGTAGCGGCTTCGGCCACCCTTGCTTTCGCAGAAAGAGGCTGAGACGCCAGCCCAAGGCCACTGACCATTGACGCGCTTTTTGTGGCATGGACTGTCGTATGATCATTCGGTGATGACGGTCCAGTTTCATTGAGTAACTCGAGATGCGGTGGATAAAATTAGACAATTGAGCTGGATCCAAGTATACGGCTGCCTGCCTACTGCACGACTGATGTCTGCCCTAGGTAGCATTGGACGCTACTCCGCCAGCGCCACAACCTAGAAGGTCAGGCATTCTGGTCATGGCCAAAAGGGGTGCTGCTGCATGGTTCGACGCCGATGTATCGCCATGACGAAGTGACCCAACGGCGATAGTGACAGTAGTCAAACAGTCAAGTGAAGAGCAATCCGTGAATCAGTGTAACGAAAGATCCCCGGCGTGCGACGGTTGCCTCTGCGCGAGGGAAGGGGGGAACAAAAGAGTGAAAAGGAATGAATACTGGGCCCACCGTCGCCGACCAACGTCCCCATCAAGGAGACGGTCAAGCCTCTTCTTCGGTTATCGAGGTCCGAGGGAGGACGGGGGCCAAAGCTTCAGGGAGGAAAAAGTGGTGAGCTAATGACCGGGGAAACAGGGGTCATTTGTTCTTCGTGTTCCTTTTCCCAAGTTTCCACCTTTGCCAAGGAAGCTTCGCCCCCATGGGTCCCGACTTCTATTAGCATCGAGACTTGGGAGAGGTCTAGGCCGCCAAGCAAGGAGAAAGAAACGGGGACGCGGGCAATCTAACAGTGGTTTCCTGCCGAGCCTGCCATGTATTGGCCGAGACCGTGATGGCGAGTCAGCGCGGATGCGAGTGCGTTTCTGCGTATGTGCTCCGTACATCGCTCGGTATGGGGGGCGCCTAGCCTCGCTCAATATCTCTGGCGTCTCCCGCTGCGAATAGCAGGTCAGCCCAATTACAGTTGCTGACGTGACACTGGACCGAGGTACCTATTAGTATCACATATCTCTTCCTGCGCTAGAGGACGGATACTTGGGTGGCTGTGTGTCGAGGTGAGATTGGTGTGGTCAAATGCAGGGGAAACGGATTCTTGGTACTGCCAGCGAACACAATTCCGAAAAACTCAAAGGCAAACATTTCGTGGATGTGACGAGTGACTGCATGTTCAGCCCGTGGGAAACATTGGATGGCAAGTCCGCGGGCGGCATGTGGGATGAAAATAGCGACTGGTGGATCCATGCCATGCCGTCCGAACCAAACCCGCGTGCTGGCGAAGTGTGATGTGCCGCCGGCATCTTGGTAGCGGGTTACCAGTGGTGCGCGTCAACTGCCGTTCCTAGTAAGTGAGCCCAGCTGCAGGCTGCGGCACATGTGTGGCCTCGGCCTCAGTTTCAGACAATGGATGGCAGCCAGTGGCTGTGACCCCTGAATATCGAGGAGACTCGGCCAAGAAGCTGGCTGATGTCGGTGGTGATGACTGCAAAGGCGTTGGCGAAATGAGAGAAGAAATGAACTCCCCGGCGTGAAATATCGCCTAGGCTCGCCCCGTTTCGCCTCGCTCGCTGCCAAGACCCAACCAGGGCGCGCCCCAGGCTCGCGGGAGAGAAGCCTGAAAGCACAAGGATCGTCGCGTCGCCGTCCCCTTCACGGACTCTGGTTAGCTCGTGTTTCTGCGCTATGTATCCGTATACAACGCACTCTAGACCGGCCTGGCCATCGGGGCTTCCAGGGCTTGCAAGGCTCCCAGGACGATTGGCATGGGGGATGACAGTGCTCACCTGTAACGTTCTGGTGCAGTTGGCCACTATGCACTGCACCAATTTGGGTGAGAGAACCCCCCTAGTTGGCATGCCTCAGTAGTGTGTGTAGTCATGGAATGGATGGGACCGTGTTCCGGAGCCCGTCAAGGAAATGAGTAACAATATCCGTACGGATACACTGCGGATAGACGCGACTCAATCAATCTCGATCAGGAACGGAAGGGAAAACTGGAGCTCGAATCAATGCTGTCCACGGTCTTGACCCATTGGGGCGACCGTGTCCAATCAGCAGCCGATATGCTAGGTATTTTCTGCGTCCTTCGTTGGGTCCCCTGGATCTTGCATCTGGATGTCGACAGAAACAAGAATCAACGGGTCCAGAACGCAGATGATGGATCAAGCGATCAACTTGGACGTCTCCACGTGTCGACGGCGATTCGCATGGCCCCAAAGCTTGGAAGGCCGGCTCAGCCCAGTGGGTAGAAGGACAAGAATAGTGGAGGAATTGCGATGCGAGCAAACAAGCGGGCGCTTACTTGAGGACTGTGGCGTATTCGTAGGTATTGAACCAAACAGAGTAACTAGTGTATCTGTATTCGTACCGGCATGGCCAGACTGTGAAGGATCCGTCTGTGATTCAAGTCAACGTGCTTCTTTCTGTTTCTGTTGGGCTTTTTGGTCAGGGGAATGAAGATGCAAGTCTGACTGGGTTAGTTAATGCAGGTCGCCAGGCATCAACAACGACGATAGACAGACAGACAGACACTGGACGAATGTGCAAGCCAGTCAGAAACAGCCCCTTGGCACGCGAATCGCTGACTGGTACGAGGAGCCGGATTGGGAACCGAGGCGGGCGGCGTTAGAATGACGCAAAGAGAGGGTGAAAAACTGCACTCCACGGCGAGGTGATTCGAAGATACTACAGACACCTAAGTAGGTACGGATAGGCAGGATGGCTACTTCGTACCTACCTGGAAGGAAGGCACACAGCGAAGAAGGAGCAAGCAGTCGGATACGTACCTCAGTGGTGTGGTTGGTGGAGCCGCATAACCCCTGTTTCAGCACTAGCCCCCCCTTGCTCTTTCCCACCAGATTTCACTGGCTTTCGCCTCTTGGCTTGGAAATGTGGCTCCTTTCCCGGGGTTCCTGTCCCTCCTTCCTTTGGAACTCGCGATTCTAGCCCGGGGCAGGAGGACAAGGAAACACGCAACACGCGCCTTCCATTGGTCCAGCACTGACCGTTTGATGATCTTGCACCGGCGGGAAGGTCTCACCCCAAAGAGTGTCTGTGTGGTGTGATGGTAGTTGCACTCACTGGGGAAAAAAGTCAACAGCAGATGCGACGGTGACGATTTCCCCCTGCTCTGGCTGCCCTCGCCTCTCACTCTTCCACCGCTTCATTTCTCCTTTCATGCTTGGAATACGGAGTATTTTTCATTTTTATTTTATTTTACTCTACATCCTGTTCCCTCCCAATATCCTATACTCCTTTTCATCTTACTCCCATCCTACCTCTTATCCTCCTGTCCTGTTCTGTCTTCCTTCCTTCTCTCCCTCGGCTGTTAAATAAGCAGCTGCACTCACACTCGTTCACCCACTCGTTCTTACCCAATTCATTCGCTCACTGACTCACCCACACACACCCGCACTTTCCCGTGCCACACCACCGGCAGCTCCCTGGACGAACCTCCCACACCATCACCGAGTTGAGCTTAACTCCTGCGATATCCCAATTCGAACTAGGTCACCCCTCCTTCGCCGGGACGTCCTCCCATTCCGGCCGCTTACCCCTTCACACACGGATCAAGCGCCACGCCTCGTATACCCAAGACTGTTACTCCGTGATCTGCCACCCTTCCGTCGACCGCCAATCCCTCACTCGCTATCGCTGTCAATTGGTCGGCCGGGGTCCAGCTCTAATTGACACGCAACGAACTATCGTACCCGACGCTCTTTAACTACCCCCTCCCTCGCCCACCATGTCCAAGCTCCCGAATTCGATCCACGAAGTTCCAGTAATCAATACGCAAGTTTACGACTCGGCCAGAACTCCTTCCCTCAATACCCCCGACACCATGGCCGAAGAAGGTGGTTACCACCCCTCGACGGGTGGCAACGAGCCCAAGCAGGAGTCCCAGTTCACCAGCAAGCCGCGTATGACCGACTTCAACACCCAAGAGATCCGCGACACCATGTCGCCCACCGGCCCCATGACCCCGAACCCCTTCAGCCGTAAGAACACGAGCATAGACATTGACGACTACTTTACCGGTCCCCGCGATATCCTCAAGCACTCCAAATGGCCCCTCTTCATGCAGATGCACGGCAGCATCCTGCCCAAGATGATCGTCCCCTTGATCTGGATGTCCATGTGGTCTGCCGCCATTACCTGTATCGACAAGTACCGCACCAACATGGGTGTTGACTCTGTTCTTTTGACCGTTCTTGGTTTCGTCGTCGGTCTGGGTCTCTCCTTCCGCAGTTCCACCGCTTATGAACGTTACGCCGAGGGCCGCCGTTATTGGGCCCAGCTCATTCTTGCCTCGCAGAGTCTTGGTCGCGTCTTCTGGATTCACGGTGGTGATCCCCAGGGCCTCGATCCCAGACAATCTCTTCTCCGCAAGGTCGGCTGCATGAACCTCCTCTTGGCCTTCGCCGTCTCCATAAAGCACAAGCTCCGATTTGAGCCCTACACCGCCTACGAGGATCTCGAGCACCTCGTCGCCCACCTGCAGACGTTTGCACAAGAGGCTACCGCCGCCGAGCCCGAGAAACTTGTTCTGAAAAAGAAGAACTTCTTCAAGGAGACCGGCGAGTACCTTGGCGTCTCCTTCGCCGCCAGTAACCCCCGCAAGACCATCAAGAAGGCCTCTCGCCCCCTCGGCAACCTGCCCCTCGAGATCCTCAACCACATCTCCTGCATCGTCGACAAGATGGTCGAGGATGGCCAGCTCAAGGTCCCCATGCAGCAGACCCTGGCCTACAACAACGTTGCCCTCCTCAACGACATCATGACGGGCACCGAGCGTGTTCTCACCACCCCTCTCCCCATCGCCTACACCATCGCCATCAGCCAAATCACTTGGGTCTACGTCATGCTGCTCCCCTTCCAGTTGATCGACAAGCTCGACTGGATCACCATCCCCGCCACCGTCGCTGCCGCTTACATCATTCTCGGCATTCTCTTCATCGGCCGCGAAATCGAGAACCCCTTTGGCGAAGACGTCAACGACCTGCCGCTGGAGGCATACTGCGAGCAGATCGCTTCAGAACTCGACATCATTGCCGCCTTCGAGAAGAGCGACCCCTACCGCTTTATGGAGTCTCCCCGCAACCTGCCCCTGTACCCTGCGAGTATGGCTCCCTACCACGTCTGGATGAGTCGCTCCGAGGAGCGCGTGCGCGAGGCCATCAATTCCAAGCACAGCACCGTCTTTGAGTTCCGTAAGAAGGTCATTCTCGACAAGGTGGAATCCCAGTCTGGGGGCAAGAAGCCCAGCAGCGAGGGCGCAACCACTCTCAGCGGCGACAACAACGTGTAAAGGATGCCCGTCCTTCGCCTCTGTCCTCGGCCACTTGTCGTGGCCTTCGTTTTCGGGAATTTCTTTCTTTTCTTCTTCCAACATCTCCATGATTATGGTCTCTTGCTGCATGGTCCAGCAAGGGACGAGAAATGGGTTCAGCGATTTGCGTCAGGAGCATTCAAGGCACGGAAAAATCGCATACGCCCCAAAAGGTGGCTTTCGCACTGGAACGGTTCGGATTTTCTTTTCACTGTAATTGCCTGGAAACAAAAAATTAACAGGTGTGTATTTGAGCGCGGCATTGCATCTTGCGGCATGAGATATTGAAAACAGATTCTACAATGGGTAGATATCTGAATTGAATGGAAAACATTTGAATATGCGACTGCCTTTGCTGTGATTGATATCGTGATCTGACTATCTATCATCTTGTATGACTTGGTTGGAAAAAGGAGCTTCCGCGTGAACAAGACCAGTCAGACACCAGGCCAACGATGACTGTCGATCCAATCCAGACCAACTGCCCTAATGCAGAAATGGCCGAAAAGACGCTAGGTGCCCTGCAACGACCAAGAGTCCAGGCCATCGTTAAGGGAACATACTCGGGCAACCGGCGCGGGCCGCCCTCGGCCAAGGAGGTTCCATCGGCAGTGGTGGACAGATACACCAACCACCGTAGGAGTGTTTGAGTGTGTGTGTGTGTGGATTCCCCATGCCTCGAGCGACAAGGGTTTGAAGAGGATATCAGACAGACAGCCCGGCGGGGGCTGACTCCAAGGCATTCATGCGTGCGAACTTGGGTTACATCCCAACCGAAACCAGGGGTGCGGCTCAATGTCGAGAACGTTCGTTACAAGTGGCTCGCGGCTAGCCAAGTCGTTCTTGATCTCGAGGCGGATGCTACTGTGTGCAGCTCTGTTACGTGGGGAAGTTTGGATGCTTCCTCTCCGCGTCTTCCGTCGTCCACGCGAAGAGGGGGACAGAGCACCTTGGCCAGGCTCGCTCTCGTTGGCGTCGCGGCATCTGGCTGACATACCGCTCGGGAGTATCAAGGACTACTGATGATAAGAAACAGACTAGGTAGGTGACGAAACAACACCTTACCGCGGACAAACCTTTGGCCCCCCATGCCAGATAATGCTTTGAATCGTTGAAGAGGAGGCTCCAGCACTGCGCTTATACTTTGGTATTCTGAGATTGACCGAGTGAGAAATGAGTGTTTCACATCATTTGCGCCGAGGGTTATTTTATAATATCCATTCGTTTTAACGAGAGTATGTAGTGAGCTATCCATTACACGGGTTCCAAAGTATATAAGTACATGATTATGGCGCCCAAAAATGCCCAATCATGATCAAAGGTTACACGGGCCATCCGCGATGCAGCCCAAGTAGCTGCCGCGACGGAGACACTCCGGGAAGAAAAGTCACAAAAGAAATATGACCCTTCTCGACAGGGAAAGAAGACTGGCAACTTAGATGCAGTCGTCGCCGTCGTAGGGGGCCAGGGTGATTTCCTGGTTGTTGTTGGTGAACCTCCTGCCGGCGGTGGCGATGTGGAGGATCGAGTCGGCCGAGTTGCGGTTGTAGAAGAAGCGCGAGTAGTCGTTGGTGTTGGCGCCGTCGTCGCCCGAGGCCGTGCAGGAGAGAGGCACGCCGACGGTGACAGACCCGTTGGTGACGGCGCAGACGAGGGGCGCGAGCTTACGGACGAGGACCTGGCGCGGCGTGAAGCCGTGGACAGGGCGGAAGTCGTTCTCGTACGGCGCGGGGGCGGCGATGAGGCTGCCGTCGGACTGGTAGACCTGGCCGGTGGAGAGGTTGATGTCGAAGCGGGCGGCGGTGGTGCCGGTGGGCTTGATGGTGAGGCGGTTGGAGCCGGGGGCGACCACGGAGCCGGGGACGGGGCCGGTGACGACCTTGAGGCAGAGGTTACGGACGAAGTTGCCGGTAGGGGTCGCAGTCGCGGAGGAGGAGGTGCTGGTGCGGGTGCTGGTGGCGAGGGTGCTGGTGGTGAAGGTGCTGCTCTCAACCGTCGAGGAAGAAGTGGCTTCCTCTGTGGAGGAGGCAGAGGCCGAGGACGAGGTGGTCTCTGCGGAAGAGGTGGTCTCTGCGGAAGAGGTGGCAGTGGAGGTCACCTCTGTGGAAGTGGTTGTGGACTCGATGAAGATGGGTGGTGATACGGTGCTGTTGCTGATGGAGGTGAAGGAAGAGCTGCTGCCAGTCACCGTGGGGGTAGGAAAGATGTCAGTGATGCTGATAGCAGAACTCGTAGACGACACGGTTGTGGTGGTGTTAGAAAAGAGAGTTGAAGAAGCGGATGTCGAGGCGCCGGTCGTGGTGCCGTTCGGGAAAACAACCGACGAAGACAAGGAAGTCGCGGAGGCGGTGACATTAGGGGAGAGGGTGAAGGAAGCGGACAGCGAAGTCCCGGTAGAAGTAGTGGCATTAGCGAAGCCAGTTGAAGAAGCAGAGGAAGTGGCAGTGACGTTCAGGGAAAGAGTCGAGGTGACCGACAGGCTTGTCGAAGTGAGCGTGCCGTTGGGGAAGAGAGTGGAAGAAGAGGACAGAGAAGTGGAAGTAATGTTGGGGAAGATAGTAGAAGAAGCAGACAGAGAAGTCACAGTCGAGGTGCTATTAGTGAAGCCAGTTGAAGACGCAGATGCAGAGGCAGAAGTGGAAGTAGCATTAGTGAAGCCGGTCGAAGAAGCAGAGACCGAAGTGGAAGTACCGTTGGGGAAGAAGCTCGAGAAAGACGAGCTCGTCGCGGTCTCGACTGCCGACGTCGACGTGTTGGAGAACGGAGTCGAAGTAGCGGACAGGGATGTCTGAGTGGAAGTAGTGTTGGGGAAGATAGTGGAAGAAGCAGACAGAGAAGTCACAGTCGAAGTGCCATTAGCGAAGCCAGTTGAAGACGCAGACGCAGAGGCAGAAGTGGAAGTAGCATTAGTGAAGCCGGTCGAAGAAGCAGAGACCGAAGTGGAAGTACCGTTGGGCAAGAAGCTCGAGAAAGACGAGCTAGTCGCGGTCTCAACTGCCGACGTCGAGGTGTTGGAAAAGCCGGTGGTTGACGAGACACTGGGCGTGATAGACGCAGACCCCGAGCTCGTGGTGGTGTTGGGCGAGAGCGTCGACATGGAGCTGCTGGAGACCAAGCTCGTAGTGGTGTTGGCAAAGCTAGTAGTCTCGGACGCGGAAATCGACGCGGAGATGGTGGAAGTGAGGGTGGTGCTGTTGGAAATAAGGGGCACCGAAGTGGTTCGGGTAACGAGAGTTGTGAAGGTAGCGTTGTTAAAGAAAGTGGAAGTCACAGAAGTGGTCTCCTCAACGAGCTCCGTGGCGGTGCTAGTGACGGACTGCGTGGCAGTCACCGACTCGAGGTCTGTGGAAGTGACGACAACCGTCTCGAGAGCGGTGGAGGTAGATGTCGCGGTCGTGAGTACGATTGAAGCCGATACCTGGCTGGTGACGGTGACGGTCGTGACGGCGGTGGACAGAATCGTGGCCGGGACCGAGGCGGTGACGGTGACGACGGCGGTCGACGAGGTCACGGTGTTGGGCAAGACGCCGAGGCACGAGCAGGCTGAGGCATAGCGGGCGACGGAGCTGCAGGCACTTGCGTATGATGGGAATGTGCCGGACACGGCGGTCACAGGGCTCTGGCGCTTCTTGAGAGCGATGGTCTGGTACACGGTCTGGGTCTCGGTGGCAACGGTGGTGATCTGGGTAGAACCAAAGACGAGGGTACGAGTGCTGGACACAAGGACGGTCGTAGGGATGACGATGGTCTCCGTTGCGACGGTGGTAGCCTCGGTGATGCCGACGACGCTGGTCTCGGTGGCGGAGACGACGGCGCCCTCGGAGACCACGATGGTCTGTACGGGGGCCGAGCCGGTCTCGGTGACGGTGGTAGTCGAGGTGAAGACGCCGCTGGTCGGGACCGTGACGGTCTCGGTGGTAGTGCTCCCAGGTGTTAGCCAATGACGGGCGACGGGGGTTGGAGACGACAACTTACGAGGCACCGGGGTAGACGGTCACCTGCAGGAACCTGGAGCAGTCGGCAGTACCGGATCGGGTGGTGATCTGACTGGCCACGATAGCTGGAAAGGCAGGTGTTAGTCTATGCGAACTCCGAGTGAATATTTCCGGGGGAAAGGTTTCGATGTATAGATGGATATAGCTAACCTCTAAGGCAGTTGTCCCTGGCACACTGAGCAGCGCTCAACCCAAAGAGGGTGGCCAACACGGCAGAAGTGGAGGGCTTCATGGCTGTGTTGAAAACAAAGAATGAATGAACCTCTTTGGAAGACTTGGGACCGTTAGGCTTCGGAGCGGTTGCTTCGAAGGGTTGATTGTCGGGAGCTTGTCGTTAGGGAGAGATGCAGGAGAGGACTGCGCTGCTGTGATGATGAGGTCGATATCTTGTCAACCCGCCTGGAAACGTGAGATTATATACAAATCTACGGGAACTTCGAGGAGGCCTTCGGTACACAATGTCAATAACCCAAGGAAGCACCAACGGACATGAACTCATCAGTACCCAAGGGATGGGGGGGCAAAGAGCCGCTACCGCCAGTATCACTGAGACTCCTTCTTCCCTTGGGCCATCTCGCAATTGCCTCATCCATAGTGCTGACCACGCGGTTTGTCCATCACAGAATTGACCTCTCCGAAGCCAACGTCACTGCTGCTTGCTTTGCCCATCGAGACATAGGAAATCTAGGAAATTCATCCCTGCCTGAGCATGTCACATAGAGACGAGGTCAAGCCTGCGGACACTAGCGAATGTGGCTTGACTAGCACCAGCGCCGTGCCCGTGGCGATGGACTTACCCGCTCACTGTGCGGGGCTATCGCCGAAACCCGCGCGGGGGTGCCAGTCAATGACCATGAGAGATGCGCTTGCGTAATGAGAGGGTGTTCCCTAGTGTGACCGCAGTACTGTGCTATTATCGTAGTGAGGTTCGAGTTGAACGACACCCAACGAACTTGCTGCAAGGGCAAATGAAGTCTGTCTGAGATGTAATAGGTATCGAGCCGTGGCACACCATAGCGGAACTTGGCAGGGAACGAGCCGAAGGCCGCACAGAGAGGGAGGAAGGCTTTACTAGCCGCAGGGAGGCACCCAAGAGACCTTCCGAAGGCTGCTGATTGGTTGAATGGACAGGAAGAAGAAATATATGGCCTGGAAGCCTGTAAAACCATATGACTTTGACAAAAAGCAAGCGTCACCGCCGCGCGATAGTGGACGGGATTGTGTGCAGCGACGCACGTGCGAGTCACATCTAATGAAAAGGTCTTCAGAAGCCCTGCGTCGGATGTAAAACGAGAAACAATTACGCCACGACTGCGACTGAGAAACCTGGTTTCTGCCTGTCTGGTTTCATGCAGTATAGCCGAGGCTGCTTGAGTTCTTTGGAGCCCCGATACCTTGCCTGTCGTCTCCCTGCGAGATGCTGTTCCGCGGAAATTATTAAGCCGTATTGACCCAGCCGCACTAAGAATAATAACAAAACGAAGGTCCTGTAGCGCACATAGTATGCTGAGGTTGCCCGCTAGCCTAGATGGTGTTCTCGCGGAAGGGACAATATAGCTTTTGCGGAGCTTCATCAGAGCACCGCAAGTTAACTTGGCAGGGAGCCCCCGAAACCGCCTGGCACCCGTCTTTTAGAATACGCATGGTTCTGGTAACACTTTAACTTTATACCAAGCCTTTGTGACATGTCTCGGACGATCAAGCCTCTCAACAAGCTGAGCTCGGTAACTCTCCACTTGGACTATGATTTCGGCATTCAACGCGCTGAACTAGAACATTGCTTCCATGATGGCGGCTGAGATACGAAGCCTAGAAGCTGGGTTTGTTCTATTCCTGTCGTTCAGCTCGTGGAAATCGTGTCAAGCCTGCGCTTATATTTTCGAACATCACACCGTCTTTCTACGTGACCGCCTTGAGACAATGGTAGATGCCACCCACAGGCTAGGCTTTGAACGTGTCCGAGGCCTCATGCGGCGCGACCCTAATGGCTTCTCGGCAGTAGTCACGTTATGTCAGGCAAAGTAACATGGCGAAAACACGCCTCGCGTCTGGTCTATCAAACCCTAAACCCCAGATGTTGTGTCAAAATCAATTTCAGGAGCTGAATTATGATGCTAGTATGTCTTGGGAGGAGTCCACACCCAAAGTTCTCCGAGCTGACATGTCAGTTGCAATATACCATGCGCAATGAGCGTGGTCCGGGTTATCGGTGAGTGCTCTGCATCCCTGCATGAGCCCCAATCCTCAGCAATATCATAAGCTGAGACTACGGCCTGAAAACGTTGAATAGAAGGAACACTGAAATCCACAGTATATTATTCAAGGCAAATGTTCTCAAAGAACAGGGGCACCGTTGGGCTGCTTTTGCGTCACCAAAACAAGATCGCTTCAACCCCTTCTATGTTACGTGTAGGAACAATGGCCTATATGTCGTTAGCTCACGATAAGAGAATGCGGATCCTTGACACCAGCATCATTCTTTTGGCGAGGACGCGAATGTTTCAAATCCCGTGTCCATCTCGCGTCCTATGACCAGTATGCGACGGTCGATCATAACCTCAATTCCTAGCCCGGCCGGAGGGACCAGCCTCGTACAAACACGCCAAGCGACATCCAGATCTGCAACGAACCTGTCTCGATCTGAGAATCTTTTTTCTCAATTCCGTCTTCCGTTTGGTTGGCAGATCGTCAACGGACTCAGTTGCCCTTGGCAAAAGTGACTCTGAAGTGAGATATTTCCGTTGGGAGGAATGCGGGTCGACCGCTGCATACCACGGTTGCACGGATATGCTACGGCGACTATTCGGAAGGATCAGCGACCTACGAAGCTTTTCTACGTCCGCTTTTGCGTGGGGTTAGATGCCAGCTTCTCATCGGCACATGTACCGAGACAAACGACTCCCTGGACGTCCTCAACGCAAAGCTTCCGGCCCGATATGCTACCCTAAGACACAAGTCAATATAGATGACCCCTTGCCGTTAGTGTTCTATTTCGAGTTATCCGGCCAACACAGACTCAGATTCAGGCCCACATCATGTTCGCTGACGTTGTTGCGTTGAATGTCATCATCGACTTTTAGTCGTTCATGCTAAGGGGGGAGGATCCCCCGCCATCTTATCAGAAATTGACTGCCAATACTTACCATCATCAATTTGTGTCTCCAGTAATGCTTTTCCTTGTTAGATTATAAAGCAGGAACTTTTATCTTTTAACTATCCATCCCACTCGCCGTCCTTTGCACCAGAGAATCATTGCTGAGCCACTCCGCGGCATTCAAACGAAAGTACTTTGAAAGAAGACAGGATTATTATCATCTCCGGTAATTCCCTTTATATATGTTCGTATGTCAAAGGCACTGACAAGTCAACTCCAATCAACATGGCATTTTATTGCCGAGTGAAGACAAGAAAAAGCAAGTGTGAATTGTTGTAAAGAGTAGCAGCGTCCACTCAACTCAAGAATCTTGCCTTGCAAGCTTGAAAAAAGCCTTAACAAAATTTAATGCGAAAATGCTACCTATTTTTCGTCAGGAAAGCCTTTGAGAAGACATTCACAATCTTTCCTGCGAGGCTACAAGGTCATTAGAATTAAGTGGGAGGAGTCGCGAATTACCACGACTTCGGACAAATACAAGGCCGCCCCTCTCTCCAAATGACAATGATCCGTGATTAGTTATTTGTACACTTACAAATCTTCCTCTTACTAATTTTACTTCTTATATGATAAAAATAATATCATTCTGTTCAAGTTACACTTCAAAACGCTATGATACCGTCCGGGTCGATCCAGAACATCAGAAACCTGCAATTAATTGATACGGCTGCGGTAGTTAAAATCAAAGCCTTCTAACGACCAGGCTGTGTTCATGATCTGACGAATTTTAATGAACTAGATGATGTAGCGCTTAAAGCGGACCTACGGGGTTTTGATATCAAGGAATCTGGGTCTGAGGCCTAGTATCGTAGTTTTGAAGCTTCTACTAGCCACGGCTTTCATTTTATCTTGCCAGCTCAGCAGCCCCAAAACTCCATCGTGGCTGGTGCCATATAATCAGGAAGACAGATTCAGCGGTTGTTCCACGTAACTTGTATCTTATTAAGAAATTGAGATATCAAGATATAGTGCAGACCTGTTGTGCTGTGTAACGGGTTATACAAATTGAGAAACATCATTACCGGCTGGACTATGATTGTCCGCATTTGGGGGTCTAAATCAGCTACAAACCACAAATAGATGTCCGGGTCTCATAGTAGGTATTCTTAAAGCTTAAATGCTTCAATAGCTAATTACATTGTCAAAATATGAGCAGAGGTATAAATCACAAGGATTACGTCTCTATGTTAAATAATAGTTGGAGTGTTCAACTCCGTATCTGGGTCTAGGTGAAAGGTGCTCGTCTAGTTAGCATTGGCTGTGATGTAGCGCTACAATGCCGCGCAACAGGATCAACAGTCTTTGGTCTCTCCGATTTGCCACCCCGTGGCTTGTTTTGGCGTGTTCGGTAAATCAGTTTCCTAGCTTGCTGGTTTGTTGGATCATCATTCCAAACAAGCGGCGTATAGACAGCTCGGGGCTATTTAAACAGCGACTGAATGGGTTACATCAAGCTGAGTATTACAAAGGACGGTAGGATGATAGACGTTGGTAACCATCATTGCTAATTACCGAAGCAACGGCCAATGGAACCAAAGCCCGGCCATATTAAGATAATCTGCAACCCAGCCATGGAATGCATCGCCCTGAACAATCGAGACAAAATTTCAATTCGGAAGCGATGCCACTTCGCATTTGACATTGATCTGAGATTTTCGCCACTTTCGATCGAATATGTCACCCTTCAAAGATGACAATGAAAATAAAATCTGGATCTCTCACAATGAATACTACGCTAAGCGCGACCTAGTCGATCAGTCGCCGGATCCGGAAGAAATAGGTTCTGCAGTGCATGAGATCTCTGAGACATTTCGACGAACGCGTACTGAAATTGATGGTAGCGGGGCTCTCAGCATACCTTCTAAGAGAAGTGGCGTCCTCTATATGTGTCTTGTTTCCCCGAGTTTGAACATTTCACCCCGTTTCTTGTTTTCCCCATCGTCCCGCTGTCGACTGCTTCGCGGTTGTGACAACTCGATTGATCTCATCATCTCATAGCACCGAGACTCTTTGCGCAGATAGAAACAACGAAAAACCGCTGCATTGTCGGACTTCCAAGTATCTTACATGACGCGAGGCCTCAAAGACATTCTCGATCGAGACGCTCCTTACCGACAAACGGTAGTCGAAGGCCCAATGAGCCGATAGGCCAAGCGAATGTCCCAACGCTGATCCGATTCAGTTCGTTGAAGCGAGATATGGTTTTATCCCCCAGCAGCATCGGTGAACAGGTCGGCTCGACAGGGACTAGTTTTCCAGATAACTTATGTGGGAGTCGGTCCGACCTGATCCTGTGCATAACTGTCACCTTGTTAGTGGTTACGGCCATATTTGTTGGGTTACGAGTCTACGTCAGGGCTTTCCTAATAAGAAAATGGGGAATAGACGATACAGTACTTGTATCGTCCTTCTTTCTAGTATTGCTTCACGATATCGTGATGTGTCTAGGTAGGATCTACAATGCCACTCATCGTGCACGATGCTCCACACATTTGGGGATCAATCAGCTAATCAGGATCACACAACAGCGACAAGAGTGGGATTTGGAAAACATTTCTGGACGTTATCGCCTACAACGATCACCAAAACTCAGAAGGTAAAACCTCACCTTCTCGAAGGGCTTACACACAAACTTTAACACTGTGATTGCAGTTCTCTATACTCATCATCACACTGTACAACGTTGCCTTCACTACAATTAAGATTGCTTTTCTGCTTCAGTACCGCCGAATCTTCCCTCTCCCAAAGGTCGAGTTGGTCTGCAACATTGGGATCACATTCCTCATTCTATTCGGCATCTCACTAGTCATCTCTACGTCAATTACCTACAGCTTGCTATTCAGCAACAGATTGAGTTGGTCCGTAGACGTCTTAGGCTGGTGGCTCACAAACGCCTCCATACACTTAATCACGGACATATTCATATTTCTTTTGCCAATGCCGCTACTGGGTCAAATCAAACTGCAGAAGCTGCAGAAGTCAGCGTTGTTTGCCAGTTTCTTTCTTGGGTTTTTGTAAGTAATATGCCGAGACAAAACCGCATTCGTGGTTATTTCGTCCATATCCCGTGTGGCTACGATACAAAAAATTCGCTAACTTCGATCCCTAACCAGTACGTGTGCTATATCTATTATTCGAATCATCACACTCCCAGAATCTCTCAAATCGACCGATCCAACGTTCGATAGCACGCAAACAGTTGTTTGGACGGTCGCAGAACTTGCAAGCGCCGTCATATGCTGCTGCGTCCCTACGCTACGTCCACTGGTTCAAAGATCTCGGTATCTGCCTGGGAGAAGCGCATACAGCGGGAGCGGTTTTGACAACACACCCCGTCACCGTTGCAACTTGCAACAGCATACAGATGTGATATCCTCGTCAATTAGCTGCATGTCAGACGCCGCCGTAAAAAAGCCAAAGCCTAGTTTTTCTTGGAACCGGAGCCGTCAACGCAGTCAGTCTTCGACGATTGTAGGGGTCGACGAAATTGAGCCGGCGCCTACAATGCTAATGGAACCCGTGGCACCGAGTTTATCGGCAATTCCAATGCTTTCAGGACCACCGGTCAAAGCAGAAATGCCTAGGATAGAGGTGAACGGCGTACGACGGGAAAGTGGAGCAATCGCTCAGACTGGAGGCATTTCGATGAGAGAGAACAGCATCAGAAGCGGTATATGTAGCGAAGGGAGTATTGGCACTGGAGAGGGTGGTGTGCGTAGAGACTTGAGTGCGCGGAGACACATGAGCATAGCGTTGACAGAGAGGGACTCTGACGATGATGTCTACTATTTTGGAGTAAGGGAGGAGGATGTGAATTTGGAGTGTCCGACACCACTAAGCCCGCCACCAAAATATTCCAAGTCACCACGTACTAAATAGTGTGTTTCTTGTTTAGATTTCATTTCAAAGGAGACCCTTACATTGATAACTTCGCGGCCTGGAGGAGCATGGTCTAAAGTAGCACTTTACTTCACGAAGTGACATGGATGGAGTGGACCGCAGAGGACATGCATTGTCTAACGGCTACTCTCCAACTTGGCAAAGAATTGATACAATTAGGCTTCACCGTTGTAATCGCTTCTGGGAAACAACTGCATGCAGTTGAAGGCCCATTCAGACCCGGGTTCTTCAGCTCTATAGGCAAGCTCAACGTGGTAATCAGAGCTCTGGGTATCAGTGCTAGGATGTGTGGAGAACCTGATGTCCATACGTTTGTGAAAAGGTCTTGTTGTAAGTAGTACGACGGTTCAATGAATATATTCCTAGCCGCGACCACATTCTCGGTGCTTTTTCTTTTTGCCACCGTCCATCCAAACACATGGCTTCTGGGAGTAAGGATAGATGGCGCATTTGTGACTCACGTATACCGGACAATCCAGATATTCATATGCCTTCCCAAAAGAATGTCTCTGAGAGATTGAAGCTAGCACGTAAAATCTCATCCTCCGGTCTGGAGCTTGAAGCTACAATGACGACATAGTCCCCGGCCTCTGCAATCCACTTGGATCTCTCCTGAGACCAGTACGAAAGGGAATATTTGTCAAGAACCATCTCCACAGTCTTTCTCTCATCCAAGATCAGGAATACCTTGGCAAAGGCCTTCAGTTCTCTCACGGGTCTCAAAAGCGTACTCTCTGGGTCGTGTATGTAGATTTGCACCACTTCAGCGCCATCGCACGGGCCGTTGTTCTTCAGATCAATAGAGATACTCATTTTGTGCTCCTCAGATGGCTCAAAGATCTTGGGTACTTGAAGGTTCGAGTATTCGAATGTTGAGTAGGAAAGCCCCTGGCCAAAGTAGAAGAGGGGGTCTCTATCAACCGACTCGTAGTACCGGTGGCCGATGAATACTCCCTCACCGTACACGATGTCGTAGTCGGATTTGGAGAATGTGAGGTACGCGGGTGTATGCTTGATGGACTTTGGGAAAGTTTGAGAAAGTCTACCAGAGGGGTTGACGTTACCGAAGAGAACATCGGTGAGACCATGCCCGGTCTCTTGGCCGCCGAACCATGCGTGGACCAGGGTGGCTGCTTTGGACTCCCAGGGCATCTCAATAGGGCATCCTGACTGGGTCACAATAATCTAAAGTGCAATGTCAGTAACGAAGCTTGGTAGCTTGCCTGTTGTAGAAATATGGAACACTCACGGCATCCGGGTTAGCCTCGAGCACGGCTTGAATCAAGTCGTCAACGCGACCTGGGAGCCTGAGGTGTTTGCGGTCTGCTCCCTCGTACTCAAAGTCTGAGGAAAGACCAACTACGACGATTGCAACATCGACTGACTTTGCAAGATCGGCAGCTTCTTTAATTGCCAAATGTTCATCGATGACTTCAAACCCGCCAACGCGACCTGCGAGAGTCAACGCGGTACCGACGCCCCCGGAAAGATCCTCATTCACTTGGACAACCTCCAAGTTGATGGGATGCCCTTCAGTGACAGTCGTATCATAGAACTTCTCCATAGAAAGTCGATTGAAGCATGGGGTAGGTCCCGTTTTGACCGGTTGTTCACTCCACAAGTCAACGACTTCCTGCCCATTGATTCTCAGTTTTCCTTTGCCGGAAGTGCTGAACCCAAAACGGAAAGGGCCAGAGGTAGAAGGTGTGTAGGTTGCTCGAGCTCTAGCATAGACCTTCTTCGGCAACGACGCATGGAAGCTTTCAGGAATGTCAATCAACTCCTTTTGTGCATGGGCCGACACAAGTACGTCAGCGTCAACATGCTCGTCTGGATCTTCTCCGAAAATTTCGACGGACCACCCAAAGCCCTCATGCCGCAGCTCCGTAGGTGCGAGGTTCTTGAGGAGCGGGCTGAACCTGAAAGCTGCGAACAAAATTAGCCCCAATATCTGGTCTGATAGTTCCACCAGGAATAAGCTCACAATGACACCCGAGGGCGTATGAGACGTTCTCTTTGCCAACTTCCTCCACCATGGCATCGAATGGTGTTACGGAGTAGTAAGGTTCGACTTCGGCACTTCCACCGCCACTTAGAGCAGGGTTTTTGACGTGATCACCAATCATGGCAATTCTCTTCTTTCCTTTTTTCGTGATGGGAAGTACTTTGCGGTCGTTCTTGAGCAACACAATGCTTTCTGAAGCTATTTGACGAATCAAGGCTTGCTGCTGGGGTGTGTTCGACGCCGTGAAATGGCTGGCCGGTTCCGCATCTGTAACCTTATTGACAAGATTTAGAACATTTCTTACAGCATCGTCGATTGCTGTACGGGCCACCTTCCGACTGTTGACTGCCAAGCTTAGACACTTGCCCCTCCACTGTGTCGGTCCAGGCATCTCCAAGTCCAAGCCGGCATTCAAAGCTTCTGAAGTACTGTATGTGCCGAACCAATCGCTCATAACGAGGCCTTTGAAACCCCATTCCTCTCGTAGGATCTGCTTCAGAAGAAGAGGGTCTTCACTGACGTGAGTCCCGTTGATCTTGTTGTATGAAGTCATAAAGGTCCAGGGGTCTGCGTCGCGCATGACCAACTGAAATGGCATGAGGTGGGTTTCCCGCAGCGTCCGCTGCGTCATACAGACGTTGTCCTCAATGGAATTATCGGACTGATCGTGTGCAGCGTAATGTTTGACGCTGGTTGCAACTCCTCTTTCTTGCACGCCATTGATATAGGCCGCCCCAAGAATTCCACTCAAAAAAGGGTCTTCGGCGAAAGCCTCGAATCCTCGTCCAAAAAGCGGTGATCGTTGTAGACAGATGGTTGGGGCGAGCAAAACATGGACTCCTCTTGCTCTAGCTTCTTCACCAAGCAAATTCCCAATTTTGTGGAGTAACTCGGCATTGAAAGTCGCTCCCATGCCAGTGGCGGACGGCAACATGGGACTTGGATTCTGAGTTTACAATTGTTAGAACCTGATGGTCATGATGACCACGTCCGTATCGATCTCGGCGATCCAGAGGTACCATATGTTGGGCATTAACTAAGGTATGGATACTCACCCGAGCAAATGATCGACGGCCGCGAATTCCATGCGGGCCGTCCGAGGTCTGGAGATTATCAGATTATCAGTCTAATAGACCTTGAGTCAAACGTATTACTCACGATGAGCTCGGGAATGCCATGATGAGGAAGGCCGGTGGTTCGGAAAGACCCTTGACCGGCAAGTAGCTCGATTTTCTCGTCCCAGCTAAGCTGCTTGAGCAAAGCTTCAACGTCCAGGCGGGTGTTATTGGTCGTCATCATGAGGCTTCAAACAAGTTCAGCTCAGGAATGTAGAATGATACAGGTGATAAGTGGGAGAAACGGGGAGTCTGCTCGGTGGTTTCTTTTTGATATAGCTTATGTGATAAGAGGCTTGCCCAAGTCATCTTGCTTCAAGTCCGACGAGGAATAAACCGCCGAAGAGACGGTTCCGCCGAAGGAACAACGGCCCGAACCGGAGTATCGTCGGTAAACAAGACGGAGCTGCACCTGTCACGCGTAAGTTGGGCATTTAGGCTGAATCGCCAACTCCAGAAAGTCTACGGAGCCCCCACAAAGCATGAGTTCGATCCAATCCGAGGACTAGTGGAAGCGGCATGCCATTGGCGCTGACTCCATTTTTGTGCAACCCCCGCACGATATTGAGACATTCCCAACGTGGATGGCGGATATGTAATTCGCCGCAAAATCATTATCTAACGCACTAAAGCTTCGTAGTAACTATTACCCTGAAGTAGCCGTTTGCCGTCATGTTCTGTGTCGATTGGAAAGTCTGCGGAAGCGGAGACAATGCACTGACAGTCATCATAGTACTGGTAAAGTGCCTCGGCTCAAACTGTGCTGGTCGAATATAAGATGACAGACAAGTATGCTTACATAATGATACGTAGCCATCCTATTCATCTCTGTACGAATGGCGATGTCATTGGCAATCTTACATGAGGCTTGGCTTTCGCCAATGGGTGAGAATACGGGCAATACAATATTTGGTGTGACAGAAGAACAAGGACTGGGTGCTGCTTATTAAGATTGCGAACCAAGAGGACATGATAACATGCATCGTGGTACCAGGACAAGTCAAAAGTGCTGCACCTGGAGGTGCTACTGATTGTGGTGATTCCACGACTTCCCCGGGAAGCTGACTTCATCTATCACTAGAGGGTGAAGAATAAATAAGTGAGCGACATCCTGCTTAGAAGGGAAACTGTTGCGATGTTGACCATCGCCTGGATATCGGCGATATGGATTAACGCCGATCGGTCGGAATAACTACGGCCAATTTGCCGTGGATCCACCGGATCCACAGGGATATTACGCAGTGAATTCGCCACGTAATCCTATAATAGTTTTCCTTCTTTACGTATAATTTAGAACTAGTATTTACCCTTATTATTTATTACTACCTATTAATACGTATAGTTAACTATATTACTATCCTAGTAAAACTAATACTAATTAGTAGTTAACTTTATAGTAACTACTACTATAAGCTACTATAGATTAGTAAGGTAATATAAGAAGAGGTAATTTTTCTATTAATTATTTATAGTAGCCCTAATTAGTTACTAAGAATCCTATTTATAAATACCCTTATAGTAAGATTACACTATATACTTATTATAAGTTAATTTATATTACTTAGTAGTTATATCCCCTTAATATAGTAAGAGTAGTATAAATTTATATTATTTATATAAGTAAATTAACTTTATTACTATATAAGAAGTCCCCTATCTAACTATAAAAAACACCTTACTTTATATACTAACTTACTATTAATTAGTAATTATTTACCTTTTACTTTCTTTTTATTATAAGCCTATAAAGCTTACTAACTTTCTTTTTTTTATATATTTTTCTTATTTTTCTCTAAATTATTTTACGTTACTAAAGTAATAGCCTTTATTACTTATAAACTTACTATAAGCCTTTTTTTTTTTAAGTTTTTATTTAACCTTAAGTCTTTATAGTTATTTATACTACTAGTAGTAAATCCTCTAATAGACGTATATACCCTTTAATAATAGTTAAGAGAAACGCTTATAACTAAGAGGTAGTTAGGCTAATAAAGGGTAATTATAAGTAAGTAACTAAGATAAGTAAGTATAAAAAGATAATAAGTAATATATAAAAAAGTAAATTAACTAAGTAACTTATAATAATTTATAATAAGTATATAATACTATATAACGCTATAAGGCTAGTAGCTATAATAAGTAACCTATACCTTATACTAAGTAACTTTAGGAAGTATGTTATTCTTAATCTTTAGGGGAGAGATTATATTATAAATATACTAAAGGATCTTACTAAGGCCTAGTAATATAATAGCCTTACTACTATAGTAGTGTATTATATTACTAAGTATAAGGTAAATAACTATTTATATAGTATTTTTTAAGCTAAGGTATAAGTTAACTTTAAAGATTAGTAAACTAAGGATTTTACCCTCTTAGTATATAAAATACTTAAGAGGCTATATAAGTGCCTTATAAGCTATAAAGTGTAAATTAATTAAGTAAAAAACTTTATAATTATAGTATGTCTTTACTAAGCTATTTAAGATAATAAAACTATTATCTAGAATAAAAAGATAATTAAGACTACTATATAAAAAGTTAGAGGATTTAGAGAGCGCTTAGTAGATAATAATTTCTATAAAGAGATTACTAGTATAGTAGTATTACCTATTAAGGCTATTACTATAGTAAAAGCAGCTAAATAAGCTATAGCCTATAAATTACTACTAATTACTTAGGTAACCTCTTATAATAATTTATTATTTATACCTCTTTTAGCCTTATTACTATAAAAACCCTAGATAATAGTAAAAATCTATAAAGCCTAAGTCTAACTATATTTTTTACTATTAGTAACGCCTGCTATAATAGCTATAATAGTAAGTAAGTAAAATAGCCTAACGCTAAGGTAATTAACAGACTTAATAAAGTTCTATATAAATAATCTAGGTTTAATATATAGTAGTAGCTTATATAAAACTATTAACTTAAAGTTACTATTTTTCTATAACCTTTATGTTTATATAGGTATACTATAAAACTACTATAGCGTAGTAGTAATAGTAATACTTAAAAAAGAGCTATATAAGTATTATACTACCTTATTACTTAGTTATTCTAATAATTTTAATATAATAATAGTAAAGCTTAAATAACACTTTAAAGGTAATAAAGTATACCTTTTACGCCTAGCTAAGCTTTACTATACCTCTTTTAATTTAATTACTAAAGAAAACGCTAGTAAAAGTAAGCTTAAAGTACTTAAGGTACTTATTATATAAATTACCTAGTTAGTATAAGTAACTACTTATAATAGCACCTTATATAATAAAGATTATTATAAGTAATTACTTACTTACTACTATAGTATACCTAAATACTTTATTACTATCCTTAATCTACTTACTACCTTTAGTAGCCTTTATATATAATTATATAGTAGTATAGTAAATTTACTTCTTTACTATAAGCTATAGTTATAATACTTTACTAATAATAATTATAGTAATAACTAATACTAAGTTAACTATAAGTATAATAGCTAGCGTAACTATAAGGGAGACCCCTAGAGATAGTAAGGCTATTTATAAGGCCCTCTATAGTTAGCTAGTAGTAAAGTACTACCTAATAGTAATTTATCTAAGAAGTGCTTTATCTATAGTAAATTAGGCTATTAGTTAACTAAGTACACTAAGGAGGAATAATAAGCCTCCTTTACGTAGTATAAAAGCACCTACTTTATATAGGCTTTATAGACTACTTTTAGTTACTTTCTTATTAATTATAAAGGTAATAACCTAAGTTATCTTAAAAAAGTAAGTAAAAATAGTAAGATTTACCTATTAGATAGTAAAAACTATAAATCTACTATGTTTTTTACTATAACTATATACTTTAGTAAGTAGTTAATTAATAGCCTATTAACCTATAAGAAGTTATATAACTAAGTAACGTTTTATACTATTACCTATAAAAATCTATATAAAGAAGAATTACTTAATATAACTATAAAAAGTAGTAATATCTTTATATTTAATAACTACTACTTTACGTCTACCTTTTAAGGTATTATACCTAATATAGGTATAGCTAAGATATCTATAGCTAGCTAGTAGTAGTACTTTACCCTTAAAAAACATATTAGTAAGAAGATCTTACTAGATACTACTTACGCTAGTAAAGTAATAATTTACTTTAGTAGTAGGGATTACTATAAATCCCTTAAGGTAATCTATACACCTATACTAATTAGTAAGCTTGTTTTCTATATAATAATAAGTAATATACTATTTCTCTTTTACTTATAAGATATAGATTACTATAGTGTAAAATTTAATAACCTTACTAACTAGCTTATTAAGGACAAGATTATTATATCTATTACCTAAAAATAAGGCTATATATAGATACTTTTAGAGCTGCCTAAGAGCGCTATTATAGAGTAACACTTAACTAATAGTAAATTACACTAGATTTACTATAGATTTAGCTACCTATTAGTAAATTACCTTTATAAGTTACTTAAATAAGTAGGTAAATCTACCTCCCTTACTATACTTAAAGAGATTAATAAGTACTGCTATTACTACTAACTTAACGTAAAAGCGCCTAGCTACTTTAGATTTACACTATATAATAACTATAAATTTAACTATAAAATCCTTATTAATATAATATATATAGATAGTAATAAGCCTATACTTTATATACTTAACTTAGCTACTATATTTAATATAGTAAGATTGTTATGTTTAGTTATTATAAAGTATATATAGAAGGTACTATAAATATACTAGATTAATATATATTTTAGGCTGCCTAATTAGATTACTACTAATGCTAGCTTAAATTTTTATATAGCTAAATTTAAACGCACTGCCTATACGTTATTTAATATAGTCTAATAGGTAATAGATTAGTTAACTATCTAGGAGCTAGGAGCTACGGCTAGTAACGGCCGGTCTTATAGACTGCTAACAGGTGGGGACAAGTAGGGCACCCACAAGGCCCACCGGTCGGCAGGGTATCGGCCTAACCGATGGATCTACCGGCAAGGCCGTAAAGTAGATCTAAGGTCGGCTATATTATCCTATAATAAGTGCCCCCCTTTAATTAAAATAATTATTATATAGCGATTATTTAGAAAAAGGCAGAAAAAGAAAAATAGCTAACTAGTAGTGTAATTAACTAATCTAACTATAGATCTTAAGTTCCTATAAGGCTGTTACAGCTGTTATA